ATATAAATTTTAACTACTTATCTGATATTTGTTTATCATCCATTTATTTATTCTGCTATTTTCCTTGTGTAAACTTGTGTAAACTTGTCTTTAATCTTGCACAGACTTCATTCCATATTTAACGATGTTGCCAAAATGATTTTACTGCAAAGAATTATGCCACAAACATGAATGATATCATGAATGATATAATAATAATCTATTAATTTATAAATACATTTATATTCACATATTCGTAAAAATTCTTTTTTTATCTCGTTTATCTCCATGCACTCCATGTTTCCACTTGCGTCATTTTAATATAATTTTATTTTTATTTTATGCTCCATTATGTTTTTTATATTAATATTTATAAAGAATTACAATTCTTCGATATTTCTTGTTTACACTCTCCCATATCTGTCAAAAAAGTTTCGCAAACTAATAGCGAATTCGGTTACTTATACTAGTGCGTACTGAGTGCGCATTAGGGCTTGTTCATAGTATGTTATTATATTTAAAGATTGTCTTAAATAAATTATCAAATATTTTTAACGATAATATGATATGTACAACATCCGTACGAATCATTTTATTAGTTAAAATGTTTTTAAATATGTATTTAAAACACAATCTTAAATATAAGAATGTACTGTAAATAAGTCTTAACGCACACTCAATGCGCACTAGTGCAAGCTGCCGAATTCACTATACAGACTCACTAGTTAAACAGTGTTACTAATGTACAGAAATTAAAATTATATCGTCTAGAGGTTTTCGTTCGTACCAATACTATCCCCTCCACTTTTCGGGAAAATGTAGTCTAACTCTGATTATAGGATCTCTACTGTATAGTATAGACATCTGTGCTTACACAAAAGTGACGTCTCAAGTGCAGCTGTGTGCAAGCTAACCATAGCCGGCATATTATCAGTTCATTATCAGTCTGCTGGTCCTTCCAAGTTCACGAGACGATGAATTCGTGTCAAATTTTTTTGATAAGATTTAAACAAGCTTTGTCTAGTAAAAATTACGAAGCCTTGGTAAATATCTTTGAAAATGATGCCAAGGAGCAACTCCAAATTGTTTCGACCGAACATCTTGGTAAAGTACTGAAAAATAAAATGTTTAAATAATAGCTATCTTAATTAAGGCTCCTGGGGAGTCGCATCATCCATCTCTTTTTAATGACGTCAGAAGCGAGAAAACGCATGCTAAAAATTCCTGCAAAATACGTCGAGATAAACAGATATATCCACAAAACGACATTTGCGATCGATTAAGTACATCTCTAAAATACTCCGTACACTTTCCTTTTGTTCTAAAAATCAATAGATAATCGGAAAATTAATATGACAAGATAATGAGGAAATTAGGTTAGAAAAGACGATTGCACGTCACATTTATTTTATAATTATCTGTTGATTGTTAGAACAAAAGGAAAGTGTACGGAGTATTTTAGAGGTGTACTTAATCGATCGCAAATGTCGTTTTGTGGATATATCTGTTTATCTCGACGTATTTTGCAGGAATTTTTAGCATGCGTTTTCTCGCTTCTGACGTCATTAAAAAGAGATGGATGATGCGACTCCCCAGGAGCCTTAATTTAAATAATTCATTATTGTCGCTTCATGATTTGTGACATATACGTAGTTGTTACCTGCAAAATAAAAAATATATAAATCCATTAAATCTAAATAAAAAAATTTTGATTTATTTTTATTACAAAATGTTATCTTTTGTTTATTTGTACTATGATTTAATTGTATTCTGTTTGCAATAGATTAAGAATATAACTGTATTATGTATATTTATTTTTGTAATTATTATGTATACTCATTTTTATTATCAAGTTATATATATATGATAGTATATATATATATACAAATATATATATATATATATATATATATTTTTTTTTTAACTTCAAGTTGCTGCTGCTTTACTTACATATGAATGTAATTTGTGTATATTTTTAGAATTTCTCGTGGATGGCATACTTAATAAAACAGATGGCTTACTATATTTCCTTCACTTAACACTTGAGAATAATGCTCCAAAGAAACATTTTGATGACGCATCTAGGAAAGGTTTTCAGTTTCTTAGTTTACTCATTGAAAATTTTCATCAGGTCATATGCTTCAAAACATATATTAATGAAATTAAGGTATTATAAAATATACTTTATATAATCACAATATAATATATATAATATATAATTACAATATCAACAAAAATGTCAATATAAGATAAACTTCATATGTGTGTGATATTATATAGTTTATTATATGATTACACATATCACACACATGTGTATATATGATGTGTATGTAATGAACAGTGATTAATACATCTATTATAATATTTTGTAGGATATCTGTTATTTGATGTTGTGTAAAAAATGTAATTTCTACATCCAGAAAGATGCTTGCCATGCTTTCATAAAATTAATAGAGCGGTTTAGCAACCAGAATTTAGGACTAGACACAACATTAAAGAAATTTGCAAAGATATTTCCTGTAATTACCAGAAAAGGTTAGCAGAAACATGATAATTTAATTTTAATCATGAGCTAATATTTAATTTCATCATGAAAGGTCTCTATTGTAGAGAGAAAGTTTATATATTGTGTACTTGGTAAAATAATTAAACACAATGAAAGTGTTGATTTGTCACGGCGACATGTGGATACAATTTTCAAATGTCTGCGTACTGATGCATCAGAGGAGGTAAAGTCAATAATAATTATTTATGCATGGATATTTAACTCTCAACTAAAGCACTAGTTTACATATATCCGAGCTATGTGTAACAGCGTTAGGCATTTAAAAGCCATAAAGATGGAAGACTAGAGTAGTGAGTAAAAAAATTTTGTATCTCCTATAGATATACCTAGACTGCTTTTATTTGAAAAGTACATACGGAGAAAAATAATTTTGCTCTTAGCAAAATCGTCGTTGCTACTGCTAAAACAAAAATTTAGTTGACGTCGTTGCTAAAACAAAAATTTAGTTGACGTAACTAATTTTACAAACTATTCGTTATCAGAGCAGAAGTAGTTTCGTTGCCAAGATAGAAAAAATTTGTTGAGTGTATTTGTTCTAAGAATCACGTTAATTTGATATTAATGCAAAATAATATATCCTTAGCAAATTTATTTGTTATCAGAGCAAAACTGCAACTGCTTGTATAAATCTATCACGGTTCTTATAGCAAAATAATTTGTAGATTCAGCAAATAGTGATTAGTACTCTTAGCAAGTCTTTTTGCTGTCCATATAATAACGAAAAGATTTTGCTAGACCAGCAAAAAATTTGCTGGGCCAGCAAATTTCTCCATGCACTCACATATACATGCGCGAATGAGAGAGAACGCATCATCACAAAACAGTGCATCCACTTCTACGTGAACCTCTACCTCCACTCCTCAACGCTCGATCTAGATATATCCATGGTATCTCCATTAGTAGTTGCCTACTGTGGTAGACTCCGAGGGTCGAATAGGAATTTCCGATAGTCGCGATTTATCAGTCTATGGGTGCAGCAGAGCTCTAAAAACGTGCGAATCGTCAAAAATCTTCTTCTAGTAATTCAAGAGTTTTTGTGTATAGTAAGTTCAGATTTATATATCGTTAATAAATGAAAATAAGTTGATTTGTAGCATTTTTAAAATAATTTTTGGCGTTTTTAAAAATTCGAAGCATTTGAAACAAAGTCTGAATAAGTGTATGTAGTTTGATATTCTCTTAGAAATTGTTTGTTCCCAAATAGACAAAAAGATATCTTTTAGATTATATATTTTCAAGTTTCATAATCAAAATGTTTCAGTTTCAAAATGAATAATTTCTTCTATGAATTCATATTTCTTACTCCTAAACCACCTAATTTCACCGAAAAAATATACTTTTTAAAAATAATCGAAATAATGGTATTCTTTTCTTCAAGTACGCTCGATTATCTTTACAAGCCCGTTGAAAAAATCTCTAACGATTTTCTCCTCGAAACTACGAATTTCTACAAGAAAAACTTTTTTCTCGCGAGTTAAAATATTTTCTTTTTCTCCTGAATATTTCGAATATTTTCAATTTATCAATTTTTGCACTTATTCATTTTTTTTTTGACTAACGTACCAATAAACAATTCAAATTCTATTCATTATAAAGATTCTATGCATACATTTCATGCATACATACAAAGATTGATACACGCGATTGAAAACGTCGGGTGACGTATACCCATGTGCTCTAGAATCGGGAGGTAGATAGTGCTCCAGCTGAAGGTTAAATATATATTTTATTGTTATTTATTATGTAGACAGAATATTACACACATAATTTGTAATCATACAATCAGAGTCTTCAGAAATACCAGGTTGATTGATAAGTCCTTAGGATGAAAATGAAAAAAAACATTTTGTTAGCAAAACTCAATTTTATTCTTCAACATAATCTCCTTTTAGCTCAATACACCGAGTCCAATGAGTTTTTAGCTTCTTTAAGCCTTCCAAATAATAAATTTCTAAACCGCCAAAATATGCGTCTGTTTCCTCTTCATTTGAAACAAATTTCTTTCCCTGGAGCCATCTTTTGAGATTTGGAAACAGGTAGAAGTCACACGGGGTCAAATCTGGAAAATACGATGGATGTGGGAGCAATTCATACCTCAATTCGTTCAATTTTGCCATTGCTTTTACCGATTCGTGAGCTAGTGCATTGCCTTGATGAAAAAAATTTTCTTCGCTAAATGAGGCCATTTTTTCTTGATTTCATCTATTCATCGATTCACTTAGAATCTAAAGACTTATTATTCAACCTGGTAATATAAATTATATTACGATATTTTCTAAAACATTGAGGTTTGAGTGAAAAGATTTTATTGTATAGTGTCTCATTTTTTCATGTAATATTATCACTTTCATGGTTGTATCATCCCAGTAAGCAAATTGAGCGCAGATTGACGTCAGATTGACATCAGATTCGAGCAGACCCTGTCGTCAGATCCACAGTCATCTGTCGAATCAATAAGCTATTAGACTGTCGACAGAACCTGATAACAGAATCTATCGACAGATCTACAGATCTATCAATCTATAGATTGGCGACAGATTGCGCGCAGAGAAAATTTTTTCATAATTTTTCATAATTATTCATAGAATGAGCGCTTTCTCATAAATACTCATACATACTCGTAAAATATAATAAAAAAGAATTTTTTCTATAATATTTTTTCGTAATTTTTACGATTTTCTTTGGTGAAATTCGAACTTGAACCGAAGACATATTTTGGATAATCGTTCGTCGCTTTAGACACTATGCCAATTCCTCACTTGATAAAAAGTGCTTTGTATTGTCCACTTAAGGTTTAAGGAAAAAAAATCTTAAAGTATGTTCACCTTTTAAATCGCAAAATATAGACGAAACCGTTTAGCGTATAAATAATGTAAGAGAGACCGGCACGATAATTCGAAATTAATTTTCTACCAGAGACTTTATAGAAAATCACTGCAATAAAACAGATAATGATATTTTTTCATCGTGCTAATAAAATATTGTGCTTTTACATGTGCGAATTAATTTCGTCGATCTTCCAGTTCAAATTGTATTAAATTTTATCAAAATTTTATCAAAATCAAAGCATGATATATTTTCAAATAAACTATTAAAAATTTTGTAAAAGTTATTTACATGGCGAAACCAATATTTTATTCGGTGCTGCTACCTTCAGTACTTATTGCATGACGATTAAATTGTTCAGATTTAATGGCATAATGACATTAAAAAAAAAATAATATGAGAAATTGTATGAAAAATTATGAGAACAATTTTTACCAGGGATAGCATATGTACGCCTTTAAATAGTTATTTAAACTGGCCATTTAACCGTTGTACTATTCTATACCTGTACTCGTTATTATTTTGTATCATTTTTCTATTATTTTTGCTTTTTTATAAAAAAATTATAATACAATTTTAAAAAGTAAAAATTATTTTTTATTGTATATATGTTCAATTATTGCACAATATAATTATCTTGACTCCTTTTTTCATCTTCCAGAGTTTTACATGATATGCATATGAAACTATTCCATTTAATAGCGTACATATGGTAGAATTAAATAGCCTATTTACGAAACAGAATCTGAGCGCAATCTGCCGCCAATCTGCCGTCAAAGTTTGTCGGCAAGCTCTGCGCGCAGTCTATCACCAATTTTTCGTCAGAGATTCATAAAACAGCTTCTGTGTGCAATCTGTTGCTATTCTGTCAGTAAACACTGTTGACAGGTTGCACAAAATCTGCGCTAAATCTGCTCGCGCAGGTTTAGCTATCTGGGATCAATTATATATAGGATACGTGTAAAACTGTGTGTTATATCCTATATTTGTTATATTTAAATTTGTAGATTTAATGCACCTAGTATTTATCTTGAATAGACGAGTTATATAATAATTTTATTTATGTAATTTCATCTGCAGTTTGTTTCTGATGATTTGACGAAAACTGGTAATAGTTTTCATTTGTACTTTGACGCTATATCTGATATATTGGACAATGCCGAGCCACCGCATGAGATACAAAATAAATTTTTCGAAGATTTATATGGATGGATAAAATCTATTAGCTCCTTAAGTAAATGGCGACTCATCTTGCTGAAATCGGCGATCGAACTTCTGAATCGTCATATGAATTGTGTTCGAGACTTTGTATATACCGATTATAAACATTGGCACAGAATTCTCCAACGCTTATCATGTGAGCAAGATACCTCGAATTACGGACAACATGCACTAAAAATATTTTACAAAATTATTGGGGAGACTCTTGAGAATCAAAACAGAGAAGAAAGTAAAATTGTTTTACGAGTAAGTACGAAAAAAATAAAAATTCATCTTTCATTTTTCTTTAGTTAAACTAGTGGTAAAGGAACTTACGAGCTCTCTTCAATCGTTATTGTTTAGTGTCATTTTTAAGATGCTTTCTAGGAAATCAAAATAACTTGTTATCATATCAAGATAACATATCGAGATTACAGGTCAATATTATTACATAAACAATATTATTACATAAACTTTATTCGATGTTTTTTTTTATTTTCCATAGTTTAAACGGCTTATACGTTTGCCATATATTATATGACAAAAAATATATTTTTCCTAATAAATATTAATAAGGATAATAAGAGCCAAATCGCTAGTGTTAAGCGCTATGATTTATGTATAATAAAAAAATCAAATAATAATTGAGTTTTTATTCGAACGTTTCGACCATTGAATGTGGTCCTCTTCAAGTAGTGGTCAGTAACAAAATGTGGTCAGTATCAAGGTGTTCATATGAGAAGTAGCAGGAAAACTCCTATGCTCGGTGTTGACAATTAGTCGTGGAAGCAAGTCAAACCCGTCACATCAATGTTCGTAAGCTACTCAAACAACGCAAACAAATCCAAAATTCAACGCAAGGCCAGAAAAAATGCAAGGATAGAAAAGTCGCATAGTAAAAAAATCTGCAGAATTTAAAAGTATTCTTACCAAAAATATGAAATAAGGAGAGCTCCAACAACCCAATAGTCAAATAATAGAAATACAGATATAGTAAGTTTACGAAAGCCTATATGTCATGTTATAAAGGAATAAGAAATCGCAATCAAAACAGAAATCGTAAATACAAAATCGGTAGGCCAATCTTAGAGACGCCTGTCACGGATTAAATTCAAAAGAAGAAAGTAAGTAATGTTTAATATTATAAGTTTTTTAAGTAATGTTTATTTTCCTCTTTTGAATTTCTGTCTTGATTGCGATTTCTTATTCCTTTATAACATGACATATGGGCTTTCGTAAATTTACTGTATCTGTGTTTCTATTCTTTAACTGTTGGATTGTTGGAGCTCTCCTTATTTTATATCTTTGATAAGAATGCTTTTAAATTTTGCGGATTTTCTTACTATGCGACTTTTCTATCCTTGCGTTTTTTCTAGTCTTGTGAATTTTGGATTTGTTTGCGTTGTTTGAGTAGCTTACGAATATTGATGTGACGGGTTTGACTTGCTTCCACGACCAATTGTCAACACCGAGCATAGGAGTTTTCCTGCTACTTCTTATATGAATACCTTAATACTGCATAGAGAAAAATAATTTTGTTTTTTTAGCAAAATCGTCGTTGCTACTGCATATTCGTAGTATCAAAAAAATTTTGTTGACGTAAATAATTTTACAAATTATTCGTTATCAGAGCAGAAGTAGTTTCGTTGCTAAGATAGAAAAAATTTATCGAGTGTATTTGTCCTAAGAATCACATTAATTTGCTATTGATGCAAAATAATGTATCGTTAGCAAATTTATTTGCTATCAGAGCAAAATAATTTGTAGATTCAGCAAATTATATCCAGCAAATAGTGATTAGCAACTCTATAGTGATTAGTACTCTTAGCAAGCCTTTTTGCTGTCCATATAATAACGAAAAGATTTTGCTAGAGCAGCAAAAAATTTGTTGGGCCAGCAAATTACTTTTCTCTGTGTGACCATATTTTGTTACTGACCACCGCTTGAAGAGAACTACATTCAATGGTCGAAACGTTCGAATAAAAACTCAATTATTATTTGATTTTTTTGATTATACGTAAATCATAGCGCTTAACATCAGCGATTTGGATCTTATTGTCCTTGTTAATATTTATTAGTTTGAATCTTCTACAGCCGTTTTAGTTTTATTTTTAATAATATTATATTTTTCCTATTAAAAACATATACATCTCCTTTTGCTTTTAGTATTTTTTGGACAAGTTTAATGAAACATTCACAAACGCTAATTTGGATTTAATCACGTTACGACTAACCGTTTTTGGATACAGTCAAATGGCTGGACCATGTAAAAAGCATCTACTCGAGTACGATGTCAGACAGATGTATTCGAATATTACCAACCGCGCTTTGTCTTTTTCTTTCAGGTAATGAAAAAGTATCTGAAACATATAATATTTTACAATTACATGTTATGATTGTAATTCTATAATTTCTTTCCTATAATTTCTATAATATAATTTTATATCGAAATTATAATTTCGAATCTTTTCTTTCTCAAGTGAACAGAGCGATTCATCAAACGTAGAGAACGTCTGTTACTATCAGGAGGCGCTCTCTCAACTGCTATGTCATATGTCCGACGTTACAACTGAAAAAATAAACATCCTCGTAAAACTTAGTATCTATACAATCAAGAGATTCCCCGACTTGAAGATAACCAACAACGCTTTTGCAATTTCGTCGTTGGTCAGAATTATCTGCAATATTGCGTCTATTGACAGGAACTTGTTGCAACGATATCTTGATAATATAAGTAAGTGAATTCATCGATTTTGCTTTAATGAGAACAGATAATTTATCATGAAATCTTCTGTAGCCTATTTAACGATAAGTTTTTGCTATAAAAATTATCATCATTATTAATTACTCTCATTGCAATCATAGTTTACGATGGTATCGCATGGAGCTGTTCGCATACTTTGGCGCTCGACGTGGAGCTACAACGCGAGATGGGAAACTTGCAACAAACGCCAATATGTTACAAGAATTACTTGACTCTATGGACACAGTTGCTGAACACTGAGAAGTACCGGCGCTATTGTACCGTACAACAAGTAGCGGAAACCCTGGTAAACGTGTGCATGACGCTAATCGACCGGTTGGATATACGCGTGAAACAGCAGTACGAAGACACTGCGCTATCCGATGTGGCGCTCACGCAGAGCGCCGTCAATCAGACAGACTTTCGTGTATTCACGAACCTCATAGATCTCTACATTAACTTAATGGACGCGTCGGACGCGTCCCTCTACACCGACATCATATCCGATTTTCTGCGTCAGATCATCAGACTATCATACAAGTATCCACTGATATCTGGTTTCTACAAACTGGTGCGAGTCGCTCTAAAGATTCTTGATTGTACCACTGAGAAGGAAGAGGAGAGCGAGATTAAGAAGCTGGTATCCAGCTATTTGACGAACATTGTCAAGCTGCTTCCCACGTTTTCCAATGAACTACTGATCGCATCCCTTTACTTGATCTTAGACGCACCCGGGATTTCGTACGTCGCGGCTGCTGTGCGGTCTTCGCGTCTAACTCTGGCCTTCAGGATTGCTTTCTCCATGGGTCTAAGCGATCTGGAGCTCGCGTACAGTGCCCTCGCCGCTCTAAAAATATGGATAGATTCCAGACAGTCGCGGGAAGACGAACATATGGATGAATCAATACGCGAAATTGTGCCGCACTTGGAATTATACTTGCGCAGCACGGAGAGCACTGTCGAGATGTTACAGGAACTAACAACAACAAAGAAAGCGAGGCTGAAGCGGATAGGTCTGATCGATACCGAGTGCACGTTGCGCAACTTCCAGCGGCGAATACTACTGTTTCTCGGCTCGCTCGACTACGACGTGTTGTCCAGCTTCTTGCACGAGCGCTCGCTCAACACTGGTGCATCCTGGGACCAAAAGAATCTACTCAGGTGATAAGAAGTTACCATTATACATATAACTATGACAACCAAACCAAAACCAGTTAGCTAAATCTGTAGAAGTATATTTTGTGCAGTATCCGTTGTAAATTTTGTTGGTGGCTTATCAGCAGAAATACAACAGAGTCTGCTAATAAAATATGGACAGATTAGCGGCAGAAACCTGTTTTTTGCTTGTTCTGTAACTGTTTAAATGTATTTAAATTGAATATACTGTAGATTCTGCTCGGTTTCTGCCACCAATCTACCGCCAATCTACATCTGCAGACTCTGTCGAAAATAATACGAATTTAAAGCCCCTGGGTACTTGCGTCAGCTGTCTTTGTTTGATGGCATCAGAAGTAAGAAATGAAGCATGCCTATGATTTTTGCATTATATGTTGAAATAAAGAAATATATTCACAAAACGACTTTTGTAATCGATTCAGCAAATTTGTAAAATACTCCGACTACTCTTTTTGATCTGTCAATAAATAGCTATAAAAAATTAACATAATATACGGCTGACATTTTGCTTATTGAATATATTATTAAGAATTTTTAATTGATGAAGTAATTTATTTTTTGTTTTAGTTATACCTTATCTCTACCGGAGGCACGTCTAACACTCGACTTCGATCGGATGCTACCGCGAGTGATCACGCTGGCGCACGACTCAAGCGACAGGCGTACCAGAATCGCTGCATGCGAAGTATTGCACTCGATGGTCACATTGGTAATTGGTTCGACAGCGGAACGCTTGAGCAGTCAGAACTTGTTCGTCACATTATACGCGCGACTATGTCCGGCTCTGCTCGCGCTCGGCTGCGACTCCGACGAAGTGGTGCGAGATCTCTTCCAACCATTTACGCTGCAACTAATGCATTGGTTGAGCTCAGAGCTCATGTTGCACTCGTCTGTGATACCGCTCGTATTGGATTCCATTTTTGACAGTCTGTGTGATGATACTAATCCGTCGTTGCGCGAGTTCGCCGGTGTATGCCTGGGCGAATTCACATCCTGGTCTATCAGGCAGGCGTTGCGCGAACAGGACACTCAAGTTACGCAGTCGAACGTGCATCAGGTCATACGCAAGATCAAGCATTTTGCGCTGCATCCGTCAGTACGCAAACGCGTGGCCGCCGCCGTGGCGTTTAATCATTTGTACGCAATCCTACGCGAGGACGACGAAATCGTGTCGACTTACTGGTTAGAGATGTTCTACTGTTTCGTCCGTAGTATGGACGGATGTGACGATCCATCGATTATTAACGCGCTTGGCCACATTGAGAAGGTAAATGAACGAGCGACGGTTTTATTGATTTCAGAAGATTATGTCCCAGCAAGCAATTTGTTAGTAGTCTGGCGACAAATTTGTGACGAATTCAAGCAGAATCTGTTGATAGATCTTTGTCATCTGTGTTTGCAATCTGCTGTTGTTCTGTCGACAAAGCCTGCTGACAGAATCTAACGGCAGATTGGCGGCAGAAATGCAACAGACTTTGTCATTTCGTAGCTCAAGCATTACACACGTTTGAGAAATATTCTATAAACATTTTCCCGAAACATCTAATAACTGATTTTTAGAAATTGTTTAACTCTTCTTGTGAGTTAAAATGTCCATTCGAAAAATGTTTGATGGAACGTTTCTTTTCAATAAAAAAATTTTAAAACACTTTTTAAGAATGAAAAGAAAAAATTATTGCTTTTTTTAACAGAAGCTATTTTTAAATTGTCAGTGTGTGTACTTGATTCCGTGCACCAACACATTTGAAAATTCACGTTTAGTACTAGTGGAATTTGAACCCGAGATCGTCTGGATTATGAGTTTATTATTTTAAGCATTATACTACTTCTTTGTTTGTTATAAATATCTTTCGTACTTTATATATCTATTTGTTTTTTGCTGCCAATCTGCTATTAGAGTTTATCATCAGATTCTACGCGCTTTTTGTTATCAGTCTATCAACAGGCTCTGCTCGCTGCATCAATTTGTCGTCAGATTCTGTTACATTAGTGTCATCAGCTTATCGATATTATCTGATAAACAAATTCTGTGTACGCTCTGCAACCTTCCTGCCTGTAACCTAACAGACATTGCTAGCAGAGTCTGCTCGAAATTTGCTTTTGAAAATTTAGCTATCTGGATATATATCATAAAGATTAAGTATTTCATACGCATCAAAGAGATACTTATATATTTCAAATATATATTTTTAAATAGGTAATGAGAGCCAAGGCAGACGTTCTAAACGTGGCCACTCAGAACAGAAGGAAACCGGACGATTTCGGCGATACGACGCTGACACATGCTCTCTATTGGTTGCTATCTCAATGTAGCGTTCTCGACGAACATTGCCGAACCACGTGCAAGGAACTGTATGTTAACATTTCACAATATGCAGTCGGTGGATCCGCGCAGGAGACGATGCGGACTTTTGTTGAGACTTACGGGATAGACCGATTAAACAGCATAATTTTGAAAGATTTAAAATCAAACGTCGAGAGTATTTCGACTATTAACATAAAAAATCTGTTGAAAGTTTTGGATTATTACACATGGTTAATAGAGAGACAACTGCTGCCAGTAGAGGTTCTCTTTCCAACATCTAGTGACGTGCAGGAGCACATAATCTTCGCTTGCATTCGCAATTTTTCTCGACAATTTTTGCTAACGATCACGACGACAACAACGACGAAGTTCAGAGAACTCGACGAGCTACAAACATTACAGTGCAAAGCTGTGTTGGCCACGCTGAAATTTGTACAAGTGCTACTGAATGTCCACGACGTGAGTAATTTAATTAATTCTGTAACATTACTAATTAAAAAGAATAACTAGAAATTAATAGTTGGACTAATTTTTTTTATTTATACTTCCTCTGTTCTTTTCAGGTTGTTGATATTCTACCGGAATCACTATGGGATGAGTCGTTGTTCACATTGACCATTAAATGCGTAATGCATCCGCATGCGATCGGCTTCGACGATAAGAATATCAAGATGACGGATGAATTACCACATGTCTTAGAGACCTTGTTAAATACTATATGCTTACGGTTCAACGATACTTTAGCGAATAAGTTCAAGGAATGTCTAATGAGTTCCGTTCGCCAATACGTTCCGCAGCTTCTCAATTTACACAACATCGCGCAAAGCAGTTCTTGCGACGAACAGATCCAACGCGTTAACGGATTGATGATACTCGAGCGATGTAATTTGTTCGATCGATCGATTCCGGTAAATATAATACTAATAAATTACATATACATACATACATGAGTAGGCCGCAACTACTTAGAAGATAACAAATTGAAGTTTGATAATTTTAATACTTTTCCTTAGATATTAAAAACTGCTTTAGAAACAGTGAAGTATGTCGTATTAATCTATTTGGTATCTTCTAACTAGAAACAGTTATTGTTTATATTATTTAAAGGATAGCTTCGTTGTCATGAGTATTGTGTCAGCGATTGGTTTTGCCTATTTCTTATAATTCGTTGACCCAACTTTTATTAATATCTAATATTTTTCATTGAATGTGCATGTGATCATTACACACACACACACATACACATATATATATATATATATATATATATATATATATATATATATATATATATTAGTTAATGGTCTGGTTTACATCATGCACTTGATACGCGTACTAAATAGTAACTTTTTATTAGATAATCTCGATTGACAATGCATATCAACGACGACGCAATTTCAATTGATACAATACGTCTTCTTGATAAGTATTATACCAGCTTAATATACCGTTGTTTATATTATACATTGTCGATATTAAGATAATAGAAAGTTACTATTTAATATGTGTATTAAGTGCACGATGTAAACCAGGCCATTATCAAATATACATTTATGCACGTACATTTTAACACTAACGATGCTTCAGGATTTTTTTTCTTCAAAAATGGTGCCTACGACTTCGACCTTCCCCGAGGATATTTGTGGTTATTTAGCACAATGCTTCGGGATTAGGTAGAGTTGAGTTAGATTTTCAAGGGAATGGAGACGAAGTCCTTCACCTAAAATATACTTCATAATTTTTTAAATATAATTATATTTTTTAAATATAATTTTCATATTTACGGCATAAATAAATTTTGTATCGTCTTCAAAATTAATTAGAAAAGTATCAATATATATTAAATTTTATTTTGTTATATCTCAGTAACCCATGTCGTCCGCTACGTGGTTTTTTTTGGAAATCATTTCCGCTTATTACCCCTACATTATATATTAATTTTAACAAGGTTACCTCATTGATGAGGTGTAATCTTTTATGTATATTTATCAGTTCTTGAGTTAATTTATTTTTGTCGAGTAAATATGAATCGCTCTGTGATATTACAAATATAAGACTGATTTCCATATATGTATGTATATATACGTACTAAACATTAATCCGCATCATTTATGGACATATATTACAGGAAATAAGTATTCTTGCGAATCGTGTGGATATGATCCAACAAATTTTCAACTTTTTGGTGTGCGAACGCATCGGGGAATTGATTTGCAGTGATTTGAGCGCAGAAATGTTTGAATATCTAGTATCTCTGATGAAACTGCAACTTTTACGACACGAGGTACGATCCCTGACCCATAGTTATTAGTTTATAATTAATTAAACAATTTATTTGATCATTTTACTTATCGCTCACGTCATTAAACAACTAAACATGTCTGCTTCTTTCAGGCGTTAACAACCGAAACATTAGTGAGACTGATATCCAATGACATCTTGATAGTCGGCATAGACTTGACGAAAATCACGCATGGCGAGTATTTTCTGAATAAGTTCAACAACGTGATATTCACGTACATGCTGACGAACGTAGAGAGTTTTACATACGTTCTCAACAAACTGTCGCGTGACAATCCTGCTTTTCTGCTCAAATTGACCGAGGATATGTTGCTGCACCTGAAACGGCACAGGCATGCATTGCAGGAATACGTAAACGATATAATAGACGTGATTTTGCGGCGATTCGCGTGTCTGCAGAGCGCCGTGACCGGCAGTAACGTCGACAGTCATACGGAGAGACTGATCAGCATTTACGGCACCGCGGTGCGTCTTATGTCCAAGCCGACAGAAATTAAACGAAACTCGGCATATAGTGGTCTGTACACTTGGATTGGACAGCAGTTGATTGAGGCCTGTGATCTCGAATATAAGACGCGGATCCTACGAAACTTTCTCATATGCCTGACCGATACGACCGATCGCGTGGAAGACATATGTAATCTGTCTTGTCTGTATACGCTGAAGAAAGACCGAGTGTCCCTGTTTTCACAGCTGTCCAACATGACGGTGATTCCCATGAAGGTGGTCAATTGCTTCGAGACACTGTTGGTGCTGCTGTCGGTCACCGGATCGATCGTCGTGCTCGATTGCCTGATAAACTTCGCCGCCGGCGCTGGCAGATCTCTGTTCGAAAATAAACTGAAGGATCATCTGCGCAGATACTACGGTCGAGAAACACCCAATACCGCGGAGCGTGTTTTATGTTCTCTGGAAATGACATATCAGAAGTTCATCAGAAGGAATGTAAACGTGCAGGAGAAATTCGACATTCTGCAAGAGTTCCTCTTACCGGCGTTCGACTGCTGCAACACGTCGACGATCGACTGCTTCTTTGAGCGTAACATTTGTGAGTTGTACGCGATCAGTAAGAACAATATCGTCGACAACGAGAACGTTGAGTTCGATATTGTGTCGAAGATCGGATGCTATCAACTGATGGCGATCATGATCACCCGAGTGGAGGAGAGTAAGATAGTCGACGCGAACGGCGCGATCGTAACGGCGGTGCCTAACGCCAATCTCGATAATGTCGGCAAAATCCAGGGAATTTTAAAAAGTCTGTTTTTACATGCGGTGAATGTGCGGGCGCTGAGGATCTCTCAACCGAAGTGTCGTGAAAACATGCGTTTACTGCAGTGCTCCGCGTACAATTTCATGCTGGCGGTCATAAGCCTGAAGGGAGAGAAGTCTTTTGACTCAATATTCGGCGAAGATCACAGAAAAGACCTTTTTATCTGGAAGAATATTATAGACTGCGAGAAATGTTACCAGCTCAAACAACAAGGCTTTCTTAAGTATCCCAAGAATCGCGAGATTAACGTTAACATCAAATCCTCTATCGACGATGTAGGAAGAGGAGGAACGAGTAGTCAGCGTAGCTTACATATTCATAGTTATGATTTGTCGTCCTGCTCCCTGAACGAAGACCTTAACGCCTACGATTTCAACAAATGCGTCCCGCTTTCGGACTCTACCGTTAATTTACAGGAACAGAACTTGACGATGAATGTGATACTGGAAAACGACGATTTCAACAAACACGAGTGCATGCCGAACATCTGCGGCATACTGCGGCGCTTCAGCAGCTTGAAGAAGCAGGCTTCTGAACAGCCCAAATTCCTGAAGTTTTTTGTCGAGAGTATGCAAAAAGACGTCGTTCCTCGCAATATCCGACTCTTCATGCTGAAAATTATTAATAACATGCGTGACGATGTGTTTAAACCGTATGCTAAATTCATACTACCGAGAATCGCGCAAGCAGTCACTAATTACTTGAAAACAGACGACCTCAACTACATTATCACTGATGTTCTAGAGACATTGATAGATTGGCAAGATGATATAAATGATGAAAACGTAGGAGGGACGGAAGTTCAGAGCTTGTTCACAGCGCTCGTCGACAAAGTACTTGTCAAACAACAAATAAGCCACAAAGGCATTTATAACTACAATCTCGAACTGATTCATAGGATAGTGAAGAAGTGGCGTGGTTGCTTAACGGAGCCGGTCGTCTACTTGACTAAGAAGATTGAGTCCGCACAGGAAACCACAGTAGATCTCATTGTGAAATTTCTTCGGGACAACGATGAAATGGCGCGCGAAATCGTTGACAAAAATCTAACAGAGGATATTGTTAATCTTTTGCTGAAACTGTTAGGCGATTGGAACGCAGCCGAGAAGGACGTATTACGGTACTACGAGTGCCTTGGATGGTACCTGAAGCTACAACAAGTAAAGTCATGTTCACATTCAGATATTAAAATTTATAAAAATACCAATGGAATTTATGTTTCTAGGAATTCTAGAAATCTATATAGTTCTAGGAATTACATAAACTTTAAGTTTAAAACTTTGCGAACTTTCTGATTTCGAGTAATATTCGAAAAAAATTCGAATCTTATTTCAGCTTGCAGTAACTTAATCTGATGACTAATTCGTCACTAATTGCAGGAGGACAAACAGAACGGGGACATGGAAACTGCGAGTAAGAAAAACAAGATACATGACGTGAAAGAAAAGATCTTTAATATTCTCAGCTCGCCGCCGAAAACTACGCAACAATTAGTTTATATGGAGAAACAATTAGAACGTATTATCGTCTTGTGTAGAACGTGTCCTGATCTGGCCGTAGACTACATCACCGTCGTGACCGACATTACGTCTGCGGGCAAAAATCGATCCTACTGTTTAGAGATATTCGCAATGGCGATACCGCGGGCCTGCAATGTGGAAAACATTGTGAACCAACTGCATAGCATAGAGCTGCAGAGTGTGTTGATAAACCGAGAGCCGTTTTGCGAATCGAAAGCGCTACGAATCGTTCACGAATTAGTCAATACGACGATCTCGCCGGCGGATTTGTTGCCTTACGTGAAACTGACAATTCCATTCCTCGAGAATAATTCCACGGAACACCGAGGTCTGGTCTACGACGTTCTCATGAGCGTTTACAAAAAATATTCTATGGACTCGGACGATGAGAGCGTGATGACTCTGCGATCGGAGAGCGTGCGGAACTTACTAACTGCGCTGTTGGATCCTTCGCAAGAATTACAGGCGCGTGTACTGCGCTTCTGGGCAGAAGAAACAGACTTAAGCACAGATCAACCCAAAGAGCGACTGATCGCGATGCTGAATCTGCGAACGAAAACGAACATATGTATGAATCTTAAAGAAGAGGAAGCGTATGCGCTGCTTGTACCGCTGCTGATTCTACAATTAGCCAGCCGCTCCAGAGACTACACTCAAAATATGTTCCGTGCCTTGTTCCGCGATTGCACCTATGAGGACTACGAGATCGCTGTATCCTGGCGCAGACGAAATCTCAGCTACATCACGCCGATGTTTGTTGACTCACTCGCCTCACAGATAAACTGCACCTTGTCGCAGAGCATCGATAATAATCGCGACACTTATGACCTAACATCATCTTATCATCCTTTACATGGCGCTCTAAGACTTCGCACCACGCAGGATTTGCAGTTTGAGCCGACTGTGATCGACGACGAAGCCGCAAACATGGACACGACTGCGACATTTAATAATTCGTTACTTGATGACGCGTTTGATCGGAAGACAATATTTTCGAGACAATCGCAATCGATTATGCGTTGCAAAAGATTCCCCAGGTTTCTGGCGAAATCATCAAATGTCGGACAAGAGATTCGCCAGCAGCATATACAGAAGAATGTAGAACGGCAGGAAATGATTAAGCAGGAAAATATCAGGCAGAGAAACAGCGTGAGATTGCACAGGTGAGAGATTAACTGTTAAATCTGGAAACATTCGAAAATGATCTATAGTGATAATGCAAATGTTATTTCAGAATATTGTCCTGATATAATATCAAAGTTTTTCTTCGTTTTTACTTTAGACGTTACAGAAACGGAGATTTCCCCGACATCGAAATACCTCATTCAAGTCTGATTGAGCCGCTTCAACAGTTGATCAAATTAGATGGATTAATTCGCAAGGACATCACTGTGCTCTTGTTCTGTTCTTTGATCAAGGAAAGCATAGAGATTGAAAAATCTGACAATTTCCGTCGAAACGTCGTCAAGAATCTGAAGCAAATCTTACACGACAGCACAAAGGACAGCACTTTCAACGCTGTGATTTTGGAGACGTTGCTAGAATTGAACGTCACCGACTGCGATTCGTGCGACATAGTAAGAGTTTCCAAAACGAACGGCTTGAATGCTCTCGGTGTTCTTCTCCTAGAACGCAGTTTACAGCCTGACGCGAGTTATTCCGATAGTTTCTTACCCACGCCGGAAAAGAAGATGAAGAGTAATGAGGATGATATAGTCATTAAAAATTGGACGAAGATCGATAAGTGGGCACAATTGGCGTCTCTTTATAAGTCACTCGATGACGTCGACACCGTTTTGAGTATCTTTCGTGAGCAATCTTATGATAAAAACGTACAGGTAATTCTCGTAAGAACATTAATTTAATTTGTAATGATCAATACTATAAATATAATGTGTGATTTAACTTATATACAATTCAACTGAGTAATAATATGATTATTAATTATTATCATTTCTGTGCATATTGTGTGGAAAGACTCAATGATCGTTCCTTCAGCTTACAGTTACAGTAGAAGTTTTTCAGAATTTATAAATTTCTTAAAATGACATAATTTATTAACTACAGTGATTAATCACAAAACATTAATGATGAGGAAATGAGATCTGTGATTGAACTCAGAGAAATCTTTTATTTTGAGATACTCGGGAAAAAAGTTCATATATAAGTTTGCCCATATACGATTATATATAATTATATTTCCCCACATTGAAAAGTATATTGTTGTGAGAAAATACAGTTGAAGTAAATGCGTATGTTTGTAATTTATGATATCGATGTTTAATTAAGTTAAATTATGTGTTTTCCTTTTTTCATTTAACAGCATTTATTTTATGTATGAACATATAATTAGATATGGTCATATATACGGTCACATATATGTGGACAAAATTGGTATATAATATATATTTTTATATGATATATGATATTTTATATGATATGATTATATATAAATTTATTTTCCCGAGTTATAGGTTGTAAGATATCTTTCTATAATTAGGGAAATATACAATGACTCTTTTTTTCTTAGAATACTCTGATTCAATATTGTTTCATTTTAGGAAGCGGCTATCGCGAATGCGAATAGCAACTGGATGCATACAAGAATGGCGTTTGAAAGGGCTTGCGAGTCGACGAAGACTGTACCATCGATGCATGAATACTGTATAGAAGGATTGTTCGAGGTGATGAACAATTTGTGCGACTGGTCGATGGTCAATCAGATTATGATCCAAACGGGCGATTTGGAGAATGTCTGGAACAGTTCACGGCGAGACTGGATGATTCCACACGTGTGCGATGCTTATGTGCAAATGTTGGGGGACAGGTGCGAAGAATGGGAGACCAGCGACCATGATCTGCAAGTGATCCAATCATGGATAGATGATTCCAGCCGATTGGAGCACATCAAGTCACTAGTGGGCGAGAATCTAGTAATATTGTTGTTGCAGAAATCGCTAAGTGAAGCAGGTAAAGCAGCTAAGCTAAGTGATCTATTCAATGATCTGCTGGATAAGACAGGAGAGCAATGGGTTAGATTGAACCCGCTCTGCACCGAATTGGGAATTCGCAAGTTGCGAAAATTGCAAGTTATGAGCGATGTGGACGCCACGTTAAAAGTCCTGCGGTGTACTAATGATACGGATTATTTGGATAGAATGACCACCTTGCTGGACTTCTGGACGGCGAAAGCACCGACGCCACGAGACAATCTCCTGCAATGGAACAAGTTAGCTGCTTATCGAAGATATTCTTCAACACTGTTTGAGATTAAACTAAATACTATACTAGAGAACGTTATAGAAGATGAGTACATTGAAAGAATCTGTGAGATCAAGACGCGAATACGTCAAGTGAATCATCATATGCGGTTGGGCATCATCGACGCGGCGTTAAAGCAAAAACACCAATATGTCGCCCAAAAACATTCAAGTTATCTGCGTAAAATCTTAGCCGATTTGAAGCCTCGAAAGACATTGCTCGAGGCGAAGATCAGATATCTGTGCGCCAATTTCGAGGTAGATGTGTTCAGAAAGATGCGCGATTACGCCAGCTCTTGGAAATATTCGCATCAATTGTTGAAGATCTACAACAATGACGGTGATGTCGATACGAGCATCGCCGTGAGGGAGCACATCGGCGCTTTGGCTTCAACGATAGAGCGCTTGAGCAGAGAGAACAACGCCTTCGCCGAAGCGTTACTGACAGCCAATGACGAAGGTGGAGAGATTCTTCGAGACATAGGCGCTGAACAGTCGAACGACCTGGTTAGTGTGAAAGAGCATTTGTTTGACTATAGTCTGGAGAAGTTGAGGTCCTGCAGCGATAACGCAGAGACGACAACGAATATGGTCAGCTGCAAAGTTGGCGAGTACTATTATGCCTTAACCAGACACTACTACAACTGGCTGACGAGCGACCGGATCATGAGCGAGACTGAAAAGAAGGATATTTTCCAGGACTTTGTGTCCGCCACGTTACGGGCTATGTATCACAATTATCATCCAGCGACTCATTATTTTCCCTATCTCTTACGTTCTGAATGGCTGTGGCAGAATGGCCCGGCGCAACGAACATTCGAGAGGGAATGTATTAAACCACAGCCGTGGTTATTCCTACGTTGGCGGGATTTGCTATTCTCTCATCTGAGTACGTCTCATCATACGTCAATTGCATTCCTGGTCGTGCCCATCGTCGAGAAGCTCGCCGAGACGTATCCTGACGCGATCGCCTACACATATCTCTTGGCGGTAGAAAAGAACCCTGCTATTTTGCGCGATCATGCAACGCGGAGAATACGTGAGCTTCTGCAAAACAAAGTGACCGAAATCCAACAGTTTCTGTCGGCAATACAATATGTGGCACAGCCAGAACTTTATTTGAAATATTATCTCAATGAGGCGATGAACCAGTTGTCTAAGGGAGATACATCGGCCTTTAAGTCGTTGCTGAGCAAAGTTTACCCACCGATTTCTACCACAGCGAGAAATCCTCAACCGGGCAGCGTGTATAACGTAATCGCAAAATACGAGGACATCATCAAAAAGTTAGATCCTACGTATTGCGACGACACGCGAATGAAGGTCCAGCATATCAAGGATTCGTTGGATAAATCTCTCAAGAATCGCGCTAGTAAGAAGAGACTCAAGGAATACAGCCCGTTTTTGCACGCATACGCAGGCGGTAATATTGAGATACCCGGCCAATATACCGGCGATCGAGAACCCATGCCTCGTTATCACGCCAAGATCGTAAAGATAGAGCCGATTGTGGAGGTGATGCCTTCGCTGCGTAAACCGACTCGCATCAGCATGATCGGCGAAAACGGGCGCGAGTACAAATTCCTGGTGAAATTTGGCGAGGATTTGACGATCGATCACGGTCTGCAACAGCTGTACGCCACTATGAACAGAACGTTGTCCAACGACACCGCCTGTAGGCAGAGGCGGCTGATAATAGATACATACGAGGTATATGATTGCTACTATTATTTCTATTACTTAACTGTTTCATGTAACGTTTATATATGATCTCTAGTCTGTCGTTGTATTGTTCAAATCTCTTCGTTACAGATAATACCATTGTCGAGATCGTTCGGCCTCATACAATGGATCGAGGACACAAAATCACTGGAGGAACTAGTGAGGTTCACGCTATCGATGTCGGAGAAAAAACAACACGAGTCGAATATTGAGAAATATCTAAGTTGGATAAAGGCAGCATCTTGTTTCACACGGATTAGTGATCAGTACAAGGCGGCCATAGCCAAATACAAACAAGCAGATGTCGTAGCTCAAATGGAAAAGTTGATCGGCGCGACCAGGAAAAGCGCTTTACGTGACGCCTTCACCGTAATCAGCCCGTCACCGGAGAGCTTTGTGACATTACGACGTAATTTCGTGACAAGTTATGCTACGATGTGCGCGGCGCACTGGATCTCGGGGATCGGCGATCGCCACTTGCAGAATACTCTGGTAGTCATAGGTTCCGGACGATGCCTCGGCATCGATTTCGGTTATGCTTTCGATAGCGGCATACGCGGTCCGGTACCGGAACTTGTGCCGTTTCGCTTGACACCGCAGATACTGGAGTTATTGCAGCCCTTCACCGAGAAGCATTTCTTTAGCACAATCATGACTCACGTGATGCGAGCTCTGCGAGATGACAAGGGCCCAATTCTCACCTGCATGGATATCTTCGTTCACAAGCCTGTCAATCGCTCGAGCATCTACGACGAAGATACCGATACAGGTAATATATAAGGCACCAGTGAATAAATGTTGCTAAAACTAATTGCTTTTATATGCGTCAAATCTATTATCCATAAATTGAAAAAAACACTATGTCCCATTTCTACCGCATTATTGTGTAAAATATTCTTTCTGAACAATTGAAGACTATTTTTCTTGACTAAAAATTTCAAGAAAAGTAGTTGTTTTTTGTAATTTTCAAATTTTTAATATTATCTTTGTAAGTCTTACAAAACTTTATTGAAGCAAACCACTAGAAATTAGTTGAAGAATATAGTCTTAATATTAATTTGGTTTTCTAAAATCAAGTTCATGTAATGAACATTTTTGCTAAAAAAACTGACTCAAAATTGGCTAAAAAATCTGTCATTAAAAAAATGATAGAAGTAGAATACTCTTTTGTAAATTTACTTGTAAAATATAAATGTTTATAGAATATATCATAACACACATATATAAACGTGATTATTAGAGAAGAATTATATTTTATATACAAGTTTTGAAATAGAAAAAATATTTTATTATCTGAACAGAAATCTCTCTCTTCTCTTTTCTACTAACATATTATTAAATCAATATGAGACAATATAGTACGGTATAATTACAGACTCAAAATGGTCATTTAAAAGAAATATCAGGACGGTTGAGAAGAAATTGAACGGGATCCATCCATCACTGATCACGTTAGAGCAATTAAAAGAAGTGCATAACGGTGAACACCTTACAAGATACCAAGCTATTATTACCGGCAACGATGAGTCTATACAAGCAAGGGCAACTGTGCAAAACGATTACTTGACACCTGCCGAACAGGTATTATTTCCCCATGATTATAATGTAAACAATAATGCTGTTAATTATAAAATGAGATTTTTCCGGTAAAAATTACATATATTGACTTGCTATTAAATCTTCCACTAATAACTTTCTATTGAATTATAGAACTTCATACGTGATGTGCAATTAGTAACAATAAAATATGTATTAATATTTTCTATATTTTTCTAAAATTTCCTTTGGTGAAACAATATTAATCACGTTTTAGGTGAATTGTTTATTGGATCAAGCGACAGACCTCAATATCTTGGGCCGTATGTACGACAAATGGCAACCTTGGCTGTGATGGAGGATTCCAAAAACCTAAACAGTTTTATATATTTCTGTTAGTTTTATATATAAATTTATATATAAAATAAAATTTATATATAAAGTAAAATTTTACATATATTTTATACATATTGTTATGTTCGCTCACCCCCATATGCGTCCAGAGCATAAGTAAGAAACGTGTTTAGAGAAATAAAAGTTTAATAAACTACTATTTTACAAATGTTCTCGCACTACCAGTCGCAATCACATAATTTCATGCTCCGATTCGCTTCACGTCAACTCGGTCTAAAGCTCCCATGTGCAATTCACTCCTTTCTTCTTTATTGACTCGAGGAACGTGCCGTTCGTTTGTCCAGGGTGCCATTGTCGTCAACGCGATAGAACTATCGATATAAATCGATTCGTCTCAAAAGCGCGGATGAAAACCACAGCGCGGTGAAACACACACAATATATATATTTGTATCAAATATATAGGGGATAAATTTCTCTATAAGAAATTATAGTAACTTCATGTTATAGTTCTTAGATCTTTTATTTGGAAGTAAATCGCTAAAGTGTAAGTCAAGTGTTTTAGGCTAAAAACTTGTCTAGTATCATTGATAATAAAATAATATCTGCATTTTGTGTATATAATTCGTATCTAATTACTTTTGTACGTATTTATAATTTGCATGATCTAATAGCTCCTATAGACAAAACGGAGTAGGGAAACGAAGTGGTAGTAAATCAAGTTTTTGTTTTTAGAAGAGTGGCAAATCAACTGATAATCGCTTTGCTTCATGCCGTGTTCTGACTGCAGCAGCCATTGCACGCTATAATCTTCCAACAAAGTAATAACATAGTTTGTACAAGAACAGTCATTTGACAAAAAAATGCTCAAGTCTTTATTATGTATCACTTTTCCATAATTTAATAGTTTTGTCGTTCTCAAGTGCAGCAGAAGCTATAATATTATCTGTCGGATGACAGGTCGTACAAAGTACTACATCTGCAAACACATATACGTTTATATATTACTTAACAACATTTTTGCATAATAAGATTATTAAATTCACATGTCGTTACCTGTATGACCCTGCAGTTTCTGTACAATCTCTTTTGTCTGTAGATTCCAAATATAAACCATATTGTCTTCAGAGCCAGATACAATCCACTACATTACAAATGTTAAATAAATTTTCAGTTTTGTTCACACTACATCATCAAAGAGTAAGGAAAGATTCGCACTTTAGCAGAAAACAACAGAAGAGAAACTAATTAGAACTTGCGCTTTTTTGGTAGAAAAGCAGAAACTGTCGACTATCACTTGATCATCACGCGATCTGATTGACTTTTGCCTTTCTGCTTTTTTGCTAATATATGAATTTTTCCTCAGAAGTTTAAGAAATACCTTGCCGCCTGTTACAGAAAAGTTTGCAAAGATGCAGTATTTTTCATTCTTGTGACCAGTGTAGGTTTTTAAGCATTTTCCTTTACTATAATCCCAGAGTTTCAACGTGTTATCTAATGTAGCCGCTAAAATATATTTTCCGTTCGGCGAGAACTTGACAAATGATACTGGTGGATTATCGTCGTCGATTAATGTTTTCAGACATTGTCCTGACGCTGTGTCCCAAATTCGACTGCATTATACCAAATCATACATAACTTTTAATACAGTTATATTTTTAAACGAATCTCTGCATGTGTACATATATACTATGAAATATATACACATTACTATAACTGCTATAGCTACTATAGCTTCGGAGAGGCGCTAAAAGCGTGTTCTGTCCTTGTTCAACTTTCAGTAACAAGGATATAACACGTTCATAGTGCCAAATATGCTTCCCGAATGCAGCTTATGTATAATACTATGTACATTATTGTCGAAAGATGGAAACATGGTTTAAATATAAATTTGTATAAATCGTCTTATATAAATTAATAAAATACTAAGACTTTGTTGTTTCTGTTTTTAAATTTTAAGATTCCTGCAAACTGACTGTATTGTTAAATTAATTCGAGTTGCGATATTTACCATAATCCGTCGTAACTACTTGACACAATTAAAGAACCATCCCTATTAAAATGTACTGCACTCACTGGATCTGAATGGGCTGGCAAAGTTTTGAGACACTTTCCTGTTCTAACATCCCAAATACGTACACTCTCGTCAAACTAAAAACCAATTTTTTATAGGATTTCTTGTAATTAAAATGTCTAAAGTCATATACAGCATTATAGAGAAACATTTTTCAATTTTAAAATATTGCAGAATAGTACATTTATAATTGCAATTATGTAAAACTGTACACAATTGATATGTTTGAAAAAATTATAATAACTAGAGGGATTATACAAAATGTTCAAACTTAGTAGACCAATATATATAATCAATATATAATACTGAATATGTTAATCAATATATTAATATTTAAGTTACTTACAGAACCAGAAACTATGAGGTTGGATTGTGGATTAAAATTACAACAAAAAACATAATTGCTATGTCCCTTCAATGTTTTCAAACATTTTCCCTGAAAATTAAGATTTAAAGATCAAAATATTGAATGATATAAGAGAAAAATATAATGTGAACATTTTTAATAATTTTGACGTATTACATATACATATAAAAGATCACTTACAGAACTCAATTCCCATATTTTTAAAGTCTTATCATCAGAACCTGATACTAACAATCTACTGTCACTGGACCAAGCAACATCCGAAATACCAAGCTTGTGACCAGCTATGGTCTTCTCAAATTTTCCATCATAAGATCCCCAGATTTTGATAAGTTTATCAGCAGCTAATAATTAGAAAATGTATATTGTTATATTAGAGATAAGCTACAAGCTAAACTATCCAAAAATTACTTACCAGAGCTTGCTAACCATTCTCCATTTGGACTGAATTTTACAGATGAAACTGCCTTGGTATGACCAGCTAAAGTATATTTTAATGTATAGTTAGGTCTCTGCAAAAAAATCAAGGTACAGATTATTTATATTTTCTCCTCCTGAAGGTTTTTTCCTAATTATACAACTGATAAATATTACTGATATATCTTATATATATTATTAATAAATCTTTACTGAAAATTTATAAAGGACCAATTATAATATTCCCCAATGATTCCCCATAATCTATAAACTTTCTTTAATATAGCACAAATATGTAGCTCACCACTATTGTATTGCTTTTTGTACCACTAGCGGCTGCACCTGTGGAATTACCAACGGACGTTTGATGGCCCGGCGATGGACCTAGAGGTACCATTTTTTCTTAATTTGTCCCGTATCGACGAAAGTACAATAATAATCACATTTGTTCCAGGAGTTAACAGGAGCAAACTTCCAGGAGCAAACTTCACGTCGACGAATAATTCGGAAAGCTGGCAAACTCTCCAAACGTTAGTTAGGACGCGCACACGATATATGATTCGCGAACTCTATATAATATTCCGGTAGTAACGTCTCAGGTATCTTGCCAACACGACACAGATCACGCGGACACTATACTCTTTTGATGAGACAACGTGGCTCTCAATAACACAAAGGCTTTCGCCGGTACATACTACATCATACACGTATGAGGCGACGCGTTCACGAATCCCACGTGGAAAGCGTGCCCTCTGTTTCGCGATGACAACTTCTGTATCTATACTTCTTCTTTTTGTCTTATCGAGTCTTCTCGCGTGCAGTATTACGTTTCCGTATACCGTTTTGTCAATCGTTTAATGAGGTAGACGTAATTCCATTAAGTTCACGTGTAAGGACCGCACACATAACATTATCGGCGGCATACAACGAATATGGCTGAACATGGGTCACGTTCAGCGGAGAAAACTGCTCCACTACCGCTCCGTAGCGAATGTTTATGATTGGAGTATTCTTTTAAACCTTTGATAGGTCCGACAGACGTACCAATCAGAGATGTTCGCTACGGAGCGGTAGCGGAGCAGTTTTCTCCGCTGAATCTGACCATTGGCCTTGTTTACATCGTCAAAACTATCGACATATAGGATGCGTTCCGAAATTTACTTCCAGTACTGAAAATCTATAGTTCATGTCACATATACTATAGAATTTCAGTACTGGCAGTGAATTTCGGAACGCAGCCATAATATTGGACGGAGCATTGTATCGAAATCGTATTGACAGACGTAGAAAGAGACAAGACGATGTGTGAGTAGGAGCGGTTTATAGAGCAAGGGAGCTACGACCCAGTAAACATGCATGTCTAAAAGATGTCGAAAAAATATCTAAAAGATATCTTATGCAACATTTTGTTGCATAAGACGTTTTTTAGATATCTTTTCGACATCTTTTAGACATACATGTTTACTGGGGAGGCACTTATAATTCTATTATTTTAATTAATTTTTTTATAACAGTAAGAAAATAGGATATAAGAAAAAGGTGAAATATAAAAATGTCCAGAGTAAATAAAAAATTTGTAATATATATGTATTACACGTACAACATGTAATCATATGTAGTAACTCATATGTAGTAATGTATGTTTCCAACTTTTAAAGATACGATACTCTCTTTCTCTTTAGACAAAATTCAACCAATGAACAAAGAGTAGAAAGAGAGATCCGTGCCCACACTAAGCTGCGTTCAGAAACCCTACTCGGTGAGTAGAGTAACATTTAATTAGCCAGTCAGGGCAAAAGGAACTAAGATTTATTTATCATGATTGGTTTATTAAAGTAACTCTATCCATCGAGTTGGATTTCTGAACCATCCATCGATTTCATCCATCGAGTTGGATTTCATAGCCCTAAAGATGAGCCATATATGTAATCAGGGTTGGGTTTTTCGAATATTTTCTAGGGTTTTTTTACGTTATACGGTAAAATATGTATAATACGTATAAAAACGCATAAAACGTGTAATACCTAGGATTGATACAAAAACAGAAATTGTTGATTATCATCTATGTTGATAGTTGATAGTTTCTGTTTTTCTACGAACGTGAGTTCTGATTGGCTTTCTATCTTTCTGCTTTCTGCCAAGGCGAGTGCGCCCTAACTTATTGCACTTATTGCACCAGTTCAGGCAGTTCAGCTAAAAGAACAGACCTCTTTTCTAAATATTACTTTACTAATCGAGTAGGATTTTTGAACGCAGCCCTGTACTGCTGAAATAAGTTGGAGTGAAAAATATATGTTTGATAAAAGCACTTACATTTCTATTTTCTTTTCTTGAGTATAAATCTTTTTCTTGATATTGCAGAAATGCGTATGATGCAGAAACAACTGCTTTAACACGATGTCAAGACTACGCTAAATGTCTTTAAGTATTTTCGACAATTCATATTCCTAGGTGTAAATGTTTGTAAACATACTGTGAAATAGGCATAATTTCGTGCGAGCTAGCACAATTAATATTTATAATCATTCGCGACAAAATGATGAAAACCTTTGTTTTGATGGCAGTAGCTAATATGATTTTTTAATATCCAAGGTCATCTGAAGAACAACATATCATGTATGGTTGAATTTGTTTTTTTATGCATTACTACATGAAAATGAAAATATGCTATTCCATTAAAAAAAATCGCGACCTCGAAATTTCAAAAACTATGATTTCGAGAAAAATTTTTCGCTCGTCATAATATGTGTCCTTTCCAATCGAACAACTTTTCCCTGTAGTATTTTCCCGTATCATCAAAAACAACGGAGATATTTTAAATGGTCGAGTTAAACACCCTGTATATGGTGGCTATTTCTCGGGCGACCATATTGATTTGATAATGTCAGGAGCGAGAAATGACATACCGAAAGTTCCTTGCGTTTTATTGCTTTATTTTTTTACTTCTCCCTGAAGAACCAAATATTTTCTTAATTCTGAAACCTGTAAAAAGTACAGCAAACTCAAATATCTGGCTGATATATCACACATTGAATTTCTCGATTTTCACAATGTATCACAGAGTTTGCTGCACATTTTATGACTGTGAGGATCACGATATTTATAATTTACAGAGAAACTGAAAAATAAGACGCAAGGAACTTTCCGAGGTGTTAAGCGAGGCCTAGCGTGAGCCTAGTCTAGTGTTAGCCAATCAGCTACGCTGACACACAGTTATTTCGTATTCTCGACACTGTTAGGCGCCACCGTTAATTCAGACTTTCTGCAGCAAGATAGTACACCCTTAAATTACGCAAATACATGTAAACTTTTTTGGATCCTTTCACTCGTAAAGTAAATTTGCATTTTTCTTATAACTTTCTTTTTTAAAGTGGCTATTATTTCAATAAATCTTATTGTGTACAAATTGGGATTAATTTATGCAATTGTAAAATAATTACTAAGTTTACACGGCAGCTTAAAACCGGTTTAGTAACAACTGTATTTAGTAAACTCTCGTATCCGATTGGTATATTCTTTTAGATTTAAAAATATATTCCAATCGGATTCAAGAGTTTACTAACTACGGTAGTTACTAAACCGATTTTAAGTTGCCGTGTAAACTTAGTCAATGAAAGAAACAAGTTTTTATCATTTTATTTTTATATATACTTCAGACCTCAGTTTTTCTTTGCAGTTTTGTAGAAGTTTATTGCAATATATATATATATATCTCTAAAAGTTGTTTACACACCATTTTCTGAGATCTCTCCTGGTATAAATTGTATATAAAGTACATATAATAATATGATAAAGGTTCATATAAATATCATGATTGGAAGCTACCTTTGTAAAGACAGTCTCACACAGCCCTAATTAGATACATTAAGTATCAGCATAGCGCACCGCTAGGAATAATATTTACAAACTCTTTTAAATATATATTTGAGCAACAGCTGGTTACTAATTTGTTACTGATTATAAATTTTGACAGAATTATACGTGTTATCTTGAACATGTACAAATTATCTTTCGAAAATACGTTACTGAATTCAATTTAGAATTATTATATTCAGTCTATGTGGAATTGTGTAGTATTACATACTTGTATTTAGGTTTCCTTTCGGTCAATTCCACTTTCACGATTGCGAGTTGACAAGAATAATATGAAGTATGAAATTCAATCTCTAACACGTTGACCCCAAATACTCGTTCTTCGAATGCCTACTGTTGGTCTTGCGATTGAACTGTAGTAAAACTTGTTAACATCGAGTTTGCGATATTTATCCTGTAATGATTTGAGTACCTGATCTGTCATTAAGCCAAAAATATCTAAATATAATAAAGATGGCATCTGAGCTAATCTTGTGTATGCTGACTGTGGAATACTGTAACAACGACTTAGTGACAAGTGCTCTAATTTGGAGAAATTCAATAAAGTATGAATGCTGTTTATCGTAAGTATAGCACAATCACTCAAATCTAATTCTACAATATCCGGACATCGCCTCAACAAGTCTTTCACGTCTGAAAATTACATATATTGATAATTAAAGAAATATGCTTATTAAAATCGATAACGAGTTTAAATAATTATATTTTACTTACTAGTATCATTCATTGTTTTTCTGCAGCCAGCCACACTCAAACGTTTAATAGATGGTGGCAGAGTTCTACAAAGTAAAGACACACTCATGCTATCTAAGCAACACCATGCCATATTGAGGACAGTTAAGCTGCAACATAATAGTATTTGAGCCAATTCATCATCAGATATCCACATATATATATACACATATATGGATTAATAAACCTACCATTTGAGTTTCACTAAATCCATAATACATACAGCATCGATATCTTCGCACATTGTTAAATTCAAAATTTCTAATTCTGTGTTATGTCGAATTTCTTTAAAGCAAGCCCTATTTATTATACACTTTTCCAATGATAAGTTTTTCAATAATCTACATTTGGATAATAATGTTGCCAAACCATTTGGTGATATAACAGCCATAGATAAATCTAAATATTGTAATCTACTGATGTAAACGTCTCTAAAGTAATCACACTGTATATTGGATTCGTAGAAAATAGGATCAGCAATTTCTGCTTGTGCCAGTCTTAGGATTTGTACTCCTCGTGGTAATATAAACCCCAATGTACCTTCACTTAAAACTTTACTACCCAAATCTAATCTAGTCCATAATGCCTCATCACGAGCTACTTGATACCAACGTCTGCACACCAACATAGAACGTACCTGTAAAATAAATAATTTGTATGATTACTGACTATGCAAACATAAGGCCTATAATTTTAAGTGTTTAATATACTCTTACCAAACATTTTTTAGGTAGCCATTTTAATATCATCAAAATGATCTCATCTGACAACTCATTAAATTTATTTTCGCCAACGATCGAAGGTTTCCTTTTTCTTCTATATAAACAAAATTGATCTAAGCCAGCATTGTCAGTGGAAGCATTTGTATTTTCTTTAACAAAATTTTCTCTTGCTCTTGAAGGATTGCTGGACTTATTCTCTGTACTATTAAATACAGCTAGATCATAAATGCATGAATCTGGCTCTGTTCTATACAAATAATTAAGAAAAAATAAGTACTTAGAAATTCAATTTAAATTTAAATAATTATTTTTCACACACACATACCTCTCCACATTTCCATTATTCATATTAGAATTTACATGAACCTCCTTATGATATTCAATACTATCATGTTCATATATTTTGCTTCTTAATTTTTTGTTATTACCTGAACTTACAGGTGAAATTATGCAAACTTGAGATTGTAATTGTTTTGTACTTTCATCATTTGTTACTGGATCTTCTAACATACTAACACCCATATCTTCCAAGATTTCAGGTTCTACAAAACTAGTATTTCCAGAATATGACCACCTTCTACTATTTTGAGGCATATTATTGTTTAGATTATTATTGCAGGTATTTTCCAGAGGTATTTTTTTACTATGGAACACAAAAAAATTTTTTCTTATAAATAATTAAAGTTAAATATAAGTATTTTGTTTTTACTAATTATAAATTAATAAACAATATGTTACTAATTAATTAATTAGCATATATTATGAACCTGTTTCATCCAAATGATAACAAAGAGGACTTATGTTCAATATATAGTGTTCTATCACTATTATAATGAACCATATCTGAACTTAAAAATGTCTAATATCCTGGTTGGTTATTTGTATAAAAGCCTTTTATTTAGAAACTATTATAAATCTTCATTTAAAAATATCACACAGGAATCTATCAAATATCACAGTAGTGATGGAACATCTTGTATATGTATAGATTTATTTTTGTAAATATTAATAATATAATAGACCTCATACAATAGACTGTTATAAAACCAAATATAAAAGTACTTATGCTTTTAAATTATATATTAAACATTATTCCATCTTATATACATTTACAATGTAATGTGTTTATCAGTACTGTCTTATAAACTTCAAAATCATTTATGATTGTTCCAAGATATGTGTACTCAAACTGTATCCAGAGTATTTTCTCATCAAAACAAAAAAAGAAAAAATATACAATATTTCATACAATCACCGAAAAGTGAATTTATCGTGCTATTGAAAGTATCCAATACATCCATAATTGTTTATTGCGAATAAAAACAAATGTAAGAAAACATGACCGTTTATCAGTGCATTTTTCTTATAATTCTTTCAACAAAGATTGAGAATAAAATGTTAAGCAAACGTCAATTCTATTCAGCCAAAGCATTATAATATTGAGTAATTACTAAGAAACAAAATATCAATCACCAATTTTCTATTATTTATATATTTCAAACATCAAACGAGAATGTGCGTATATATGCGAGTTTTGATATTTCTTAAGCTTATTCAGGGGAACAAAAACGAACAGGTATACACCTGCCTGCTGGCGGGTGTTTCCCTTTTCCTTCTCTCTGCGGTTGCTATAAAACAAGAAATTCTCATGCAGCTAGCAACCAAAAGGACCTGTTAGAGTTAACGTGTTTTGCTCTCGTATTTGTCTCACCTATCGGGCGGAGAAGATTCCTCGGTGTTCAGTGAGCAACCAATCTCGTGCAATAACATGTGTTTGATAGTAACAGAATCCATGATTTCACAAAATAGCGCAAAATTGGCCTCTTCTCGGGACCGTTGTTGTATAACGAACGATTAACACAATCCGTCACTCCGATACGAACAACACTCACTAACGACACAGTGATTGCTCAGTGGACTACTGACACGGCGAGGTGGTGGATGAAATTAGCCGTTGGTTGGTCGACCAGTATAACGGCGGGAACGCGCACGATAAAGGCGGTGATGCCTCGAATGGAGGGAAAAAACGCGCGCGAATATTAGTGGACTAATCTAAAAAATTAATATTCTATGTATTGTTGGTATAGTTATTATGATTGTAGATAATTTATATGGTTCAATTTATAATTTCGTTGTGCTAAGCATTTTGTATGCTAAAAGAAGTCCTGTGATTGAGCGTAGGAGTTTACCAGAGTTTACTGTGTGTATAGCACGTGTCATTGGCGTAAGGTTAGGTTAGATCAGAAAAATTTGAGATAAATCCATTTGCGGCTACACAACGCTTTGGAGTATGTAAAGAACAATAGGGTGCGTTCCCACTTAGCGTGTCACGCGTCGCGTCGTCCAAGTTATGGCTCCTGCACACAGGACGCGGTAATGCTTGCTGCGCGGCGGAAGTTTGCGCGACAGCCAATCAATATGTTGTTTTTCCGTAACAGCTAGAAGGTTATTACAGAAACCAGCATATTGATGGCTGTCGCGCGAATTTCTGCCGCGCGGCAAAGATTACCGCATTCTGTGTGCAGGAGCCATTAAGCCAATCAAATCGTCCTATTTTATTGCATAACTTTATGCCGAATAAAATGGGACGATTTGATTGGCTTAACTCGGACGACGCGACGCGTGACACACTCAGTGGGAACTCATAGCATGTTTGACTGGCTCTAGGTAACCCACTCTGGGTTATTCAGCCTACGTTTATTGGTCGAACAAGTACTTATAAGCTTTGGGTGTTTTCCAATTGCTTAACACATCTTGACACTACGTCACAAAACTAGTTTATTGGTCACATATTATTTAAAATATCTTGTAAGATAATATACAACCAATAAACTGGTATTGTGTAACACACAAAACGTAACTGGAAAGCATCCTTTATGATTGGCTAGTAGAGACTTATGACGTCATTAATCGCTCTCGGAGTGATTAACCCAGGGCCAGTCGAACACGCTATCAGCCTAATGATTGGCCTATTTAGCGCTTCAAAGCATTTGCAGCATCAAGTGGATTTTCTCTTGATACATAGTGTTTTCCAACAAGAAATGCAGGGATGTTTCATTGGTTAAGCGAATATTGCCTTAATCCCGTATCAGACTACGGATTAAGATTGAAATTGAATTGAAAATTGGCCAATTAGAGCAAAGTTCACCAAACTTGAGCTTAGTGAATTTTGCTTTGATTGGCTAAATTCCAATTCAATCTCAATCCTAATCTATAGTTTGATATGGGCTTTATGACGTCAATAATCGCTTTCGGAGCGATTTACCTCGGGGCCAGTCGAACACGCTATATATGAACGGAATTTTCTTCCAACAAAGATTATCCCGGTGGAATAATCTAGTCACGTATATCATACAAGGCTGCGTTCCAAAATTCTACTTGGTCGGTAGAGTACATTTAATTAACCAATCATGATAAAGAAATCCTAGTTATCTTTGTTCTTATTGGTCAATTAAATGCTACTTTACCCATTGAGTAAAGTTTTGGAACGCACCCACGAAGTAGAAGAAAAGTACGGTGGGAAGAGTCAGTAAACGCGCGTCAGTCGTGCACAATCGCGGTCAGTCGTGCCTGAAAATGGCGTTATCTTGTGCGAGTGAGTATTTCGTTACATGCGCATTATTTGTTTTATTATATGTCCTTTTTCTCTTCTGTTGTTTATCTTGTGTGATGTTTCAATTTATACAACAAAGTCCGCATCGAAATTAGCTTTTCCGAGAAGTTGTAAAATTTTATGCCGGTGGAGCCGACATAACCTCTAACAAATAACGTTACTGCTAAGTTAAAGAATATAATAAAGATATAATAAATAATAAGAAGAGCAATATCTCTTTATATCAAAAACAAATTTATATTGTAGCTATACTTCTTTTACGTTTATTTTTATATTACATGCATATATGTGCTTGTTATATCTTAGATCTTATATCATTTCAATTTGAGCTATTTTAATACTTCAAATGAAGTCATAGATGATATATCAAAATTCTAATGTAATAAAATTAATTTAAAAACCACAATGATAATTCTAAATTATATATTATTTACAGTTTCCAATGAAGTGCCAGAACATCCAGTAATATCTCTTGTTTCTGGATCAATATTTGAAAAACGTCTTATTGAAAAATATGTTGCTGAAAATGGAGTTGATCCTACTAATGGCAAAGAACTCACTATTGAACAGTTAATTGATGTAAAAGGTATATTTAAATGTTACTTATATATATAAAATGTTTATATAATTTAGAAATACACTATACAGAGACTATTTAAGCAAAATACAATTAAAAGAGCAATCTCTAAATTTTGATTATATATATAGCAATTTTTTAAATTTATAATATATATAATTCTTTTACTTATATTTATATATTGTACTAAGAAATTTGTATCTACAGCAACTCCTATTGTCAAACCCAAGCCACCTAGTGCTACATCCATTCCTGCAATATTAAAAATTCTACAAGATGAATGGGATGCTGTTATGTTACACTCATTTACACTACGACAACAACTTCAAACTGCCAGACAGGAACTCTCCCATGCTTTATATCAACATGATGCAGCCTGCCGTGTAATAGCAAGATTGACTAAAGAAGTTACTGCTGCTAGAGAAGCTTTAGCCACTCTAAAACCTCAAGCTGGAATTGTACAGGCTACGGCAATTCCACAGCCTGTATGTATGATATACTGTTATTTATTGAAATATCTCAAGTTGCAAGTTCTAAATATTTAGTTATTGTTAATATTTTATTCAACATTTTAATTCTAGATTAGATCTAGCTTTGTATTTTATATATTATATACTAAGTACACACACAATCGCAAATATTTTTAGTTGTTAATTAGTTAATATATTTATTTTGTTAGGCTGTGGCAGTAGAGGCTGGTGGTACAGCTGCCCAACCAATGGAACAGGCTGGTATCACCGATGACGTTATTCAAAAGCTTCAAGAGCGAGCGACTGTTCTTACTCAGGAACGAAAACGACGTGGACGCTCGGTACCGGAGGACCTAATGCCACAGGACAATATTCGGGCATTCCAAGCACTTGCATCTCATCCTGTAAGTTTGTTTCACTTTCTATAGGCGTGCTTTAACACTTATTCCAAACTAAATATCTCCATTATGAGGTGCTATCACATAAATATATTATCAATGTAAATATTTTTTTAATTTCAGGGACTTCACTCTGCCAGCGTGCCCGGAATCCTTGCGCTTGATATTCACGGTGCTGACACTAGTAAGATTTTAACAGGTGGTGCAGACAAAAATGCTACAGTGTTCAATAAGGATACCGAGCAAGTTGTGGCTATTCTCAAAGGTCATACAAAGAAGGTATGTATGCAGACGTAGTTAAAAACACCATATTATTCCTTCTTTAAGCATAATGTGTTCTTGATTATTTTTACAGGTTACACGTGTTATTTACCATCCAGAAGAGGATATTGTCATGACAGCGTCGCCTGATACTACGATTCGTGTGTGGAATGTCAGTACCAGTCAGACGACATTGTTATTGAAAGCTCACGATGCCCCAGTAACTGGATTATCTTTGCATCCAACCGGTGATTATCTGCTTAGCTCGTCTCTAGATCAGCATTGGGCCTTTTCGGATATACGTACTGGCAGATTACTAACTAAAGTACGTTTTAAAAAGTTATTATATCTTATTTTTTAAAAAAGTCAAATATAAATTCTTCCATTTTGAGTAAATCGTCGAAAAACACGTGATATATTCCAAAGGTGGCGGGACAAGCTGGACAACCATTGACTACTGCTCAGTTCCATCCTGACGGTTTAATCTTCGGTACTGGCACGGCAGATTCTCAGGTGAAAATCTGGGATCTGAAAGAGCAATCGAACGTGGCGAATTTCCCGGGCCACACAGGTCCAATCACGGCCATTAGCTTCTCCGAAAACGGATATTATTTGGCGACAGCAGCGGAAGATTCATGTGTGAAACTTTGGGATTTACGTAAACTGAAGAATTTCAAAACATTACAGCTGGAGGAATCCTACGAGGTGAAAGATATTTGTTTTGATCAAAGTGGAACGTATTTGGCCGTGGCTGGAACAGACGTGAGGTAAGATTTCAAATTTTATCAATTCTTATTATTTATTAATTGATTCTAAGAGAATAATTGTAATTATTTTCTGGTAACTTTATTGTTAATAATTCCATTTCTAAACAAAATATCTTAATATTATAAAACCTTTGTTTCTTTGTCTTAGTGATAAGCTGCTCAAATAATTGCTTTTAATATTGTATTTTAATATTATATTTAATAATATATTAAATTTGTAATAATCTATAAATATTCAACTACACAAAAGTTTGAATTAGTTTGTACTGAGAACATTGTTACTTCCAGAGTATACCTCTGCAAGCAATGGCAGGAATTGAAAGTGCTAAATGATCATACAGCAGCGGCCACTGGCGTTCGTTTTGGTAAACACGCACAGTATATTGCTTCTACTAGTATGGACAGAACACTGAAATTGTACGGACTGTCGTAAATTCATAGGAAAACGTACGGATTTTATTATTTAATATTGAATTAAATTACTATGTGCAAATATATCTAATGAACTTGTCTTATTTAATCTTCATTTAATTTCTTAAATTTGTTCATTGACAGTATTTGTCGAGAACTCAAATATTTTAAAAATATGATTCTGAGATGAATTCTCGGATATTATTATTGGTAAATTCGATTGGAAACACTAGTATGCACCAGTGTACACTAAGGCTGTTTTATAGTCTCTAGTTTGTATACTTAAGATCATCTTAAATTTGCCTCTGAATATTCCGTAACCAGTGCAACGATTTGTATATAGCATTTGAAGATGATATAAGACGATATAATGTTCTGTGTGGTTAATTTTTTAAAGTGACAGAAAATTTGGTACCGATGAAATTAATACAAGTCACGTTGCTTATGTCGCGCGCTGATTGGGTAGAGCAAAAAAGAAAGCAAGGGGTATATGCCTCGTAAAAACGGCATGTTTACTAATAATTGTCACGTCGCAGAGAATTATTTCGAAGCCCGTGTATATAAACAGACGATTTTAAATATAAAATTATAAAATTTTATAAATATAGCTAAGATGTAGATATAGTCTCGCATATTAGACTAAGCAGACTGAGATGATTGGGATACATATGTAGAATGGAACAACCCTTTAAAGGCAAGAAAGCTTTTAAAACTAACATTGCTAACAATAAAAGACCGAAGGGCAAGTTGAGACACGGATGGTGGAAAGGAACGATCTAGACAAACTGGGTATGCGGAAATCTAGGGTCAGAGAGAGGGTTAAGTGCAGGCAGCTTCGTTCTGAGGCCAAGGTTCTCTTTAGGACCTTGTGGTGCTGTAGATAGAAATACAGCTAAAATATAAGAACGAACTATGAATTGACCTTAGTGTGCACTGGCGCGGACTTGTGCTTCCCCCCAATCGAATCCGCCATACAATATACTATTCAGAAGAAGTTCTCAGACAAGTTGATATAGAATTCAATACGTTGCTCTGTCATACGTTTTTGTAAAATCATGCAATTGTTTGAGTACAATTGCATATAAATAAAATAATGACCTGCAGAATTTCCGAATATATAGTGTAATAAAACTGAATAAAGATATAAGAATTTCTTTATAATAAAACAATGAAATTATGTGCACGCATGATTCAATGACGTCACCTGTCAAACGCTTATTATCCTTATCAACATTAGATTAATTCAAAAGTCTTCTCATAAATACTGAACGAGTGTTTATATGAAAGAAGTATTTTTCAATTATAAATGTGCCTTCAGATGATATATGTATTCTATGAGAAAAAACTTTGAATCAATCTAATATATTACTCTTGCCTTCTCTCTTTTATAATATTATAACATAATTATTGTTTTGGCGATTAAAGGGATATTTCATGTGCGCGTTTTTTTTCTTTCGATCAAAGATAAACAATGATTGGTGTCTTCATTCAAAATTGAAATCTTTCATCGAGATCTTTCTGACATTACTTTTCTCGAGATATCAGAGAACTGCTCGATCTTGCCTCGATTCAATTGTCGAAACAGGGAAAATGTAAATCTGTATTCTTCAAATTCGCCTCGATCCACTTATCTGCTCTTGCAGTGATTTCCGGAGTAAAGAAGTCTCTCCATCCACCACTGGAACCTTTCCTGATAAAGTTCCCTGATTTTATAATGCCACAGTCCTTCAACTCGCTGCCATTGACCATCGGATTATTACGAAAGTTCTTGATATTCAGATAGTCCGCCACTTTATTTAACTCTTCATCAGTATATGTTTTCCCCAAAAATTTCGCAACCTTCTTAATTACTTTCAGAAAATCCTGAAAAAAATTGTATCAATGATTATTTTAGAACACATATATTTAAGAATATAAAGAAATGAAGGAAAGATAATATTAATATTGCTTACAAGTTGCATATCTTCATAAAAGATAAATAAAAGATTTGGGTGATCTTTTAAAGCCCAGGCTTCTTTCAAGTGTGTCCAGTATGGGCTCCAAGGAGCTAAAAAACGTGTTGAACAAATGTACAAATTTCGACGATTTTGTTTTTTTTTTTGGATTTATTGGTTGTATTGGTTCCTCGAGAAATTTTTTAATTAGAAGAAAGCGAATAAGAAATGAAACCGAATACACGTATATCAAACTATCGGAAATACGAGTAAGTAAGACATGCATTGCGGGATAATTGAAATTATATACATGCGCGGTCCCTTCACTTGTCAATCACATTCCGTATAATTCGATACTATCATTCAAATTGTGTATTATGAAAGATCAGATTGATATAGCTTGATTGCCGTATTCAGATAACAAGACGATTCTATAGATCTGTCTTTTCACATTCTCGATAATATGTCATTAATGAAAAAAAAAAATAAGTGAAAATATACCTACAATTGAATATTATATGATTGCTACGTCTATATAGTAATCTGAAACCGATTTAGTAGTATCCATAATCAAGAGACAGCAAACAAACATATCATATTTTGACAGGTCTTATGTTTAGATGATATGTTTTGATATAAAATCGACTCATGAATTTTCGATGTTATGATGTGATGATTAATGTTATGTATATAATTATAATAATTGTTATACATGTAACATAGTTATAATTTTATAATTAAATCGGTTTTATGCGCTAATGATGCAAACTATAAATGTTACTAAATTGGTTCAAATTGCTATGTACACATAAATTTATTTGATGGAAAAAATTTGTTAAAAATATAATGAAATCGTCAAAAAGAGAAATGAAAAGTTGCTAAAAATATTTCATGATGAATCATAATTTTCTTTATGAATTGTTATTAAAAGTATGACAAAATAGTGAATTTTAAATGAATATTAATGAAAAGTAGTGAAAATATTTTAAAATATTTAATATTATGAAATCTACAGAATTTCAATGAAAACTGAGTAAATTGTATTGAAACTTTGCTGAAAAATATTGATGAAAAAAATTCGTAAAACATTTCTCAATAATTTTCAAAATTTTGCTGAATTGTGCTGAACCTTGATAAAACAATAATAATTCATAATGAATTATAAATTTATGTATCTCATTTTATGTATCTCATTTATTGATCAATAAAAAACTTCGTGAAAAAGTTTTGAATAAATAACGAAATCGTGCTGAATTTCGCTGATGATACTAATTAACATTTTATTTTTGTATTTTTTTATATATTCCCTAACAGATGTTCAGAGAACATCAAGAGTACATCCTAAGGAAATCTTGAGGACATTTCTTCGTCCTCAGGACGTCCTAAGGAGATCTTGTGCTGTCTTGGGTTAGGATATGAAAACTCTCTCTCACAGAAATGTCGATAAAAATTACTGAAATATATCAAACTTTACTGAAATATATGAAAATCTGATTTCCTCACTATATTTCAACATAAATTCATACGATTATTAATTTGCATCTAATATTGCATTTAGAGCAATATTGAATCTAGAGCAATCGTTAACTAGCATATAATATTTGCATGTAGATTAAAAGAAATATGAAATTTCATATTATTTATAAAGATTGTCTTTTTAATTAGAGATGTATGGGTGTCTTTAAAAAAATAATTACAATTTAAAAAAAGTATCGTAATTATTTTAGTGAAAATATCAATATTTATTGTAATAGAAGTACATTACACACATAAACCCTGGTGAAAATTGAAATTGGAGAGTAGATAAAGTGTAAACGAAGAGTGACGGAAATGTAAGTGAAGCGCTTACAAAACGTAAATTGAAACATCGGAACGTAAAACAAGCATACCCGCTTGTTTTACGTTCTGATGTTTCAATTTACGCTTTGTAAGCGCTTCACTTACACTTTCGTCACTCTTCGTTTACACTTAATCTACTCTCCAATTTCAGTTTTCACCAGGGAATTAAGGACCAGATTTCCCAGCCGTGAATTCGGGATATTTTATAAATATATAAAACGGGAGGCGGAGGGAGGTGGGTAAAAAGATCCGAAAATTATTTGATAATCATTGAAAATGATGATAAATCGATGTCTCGAATAGCATTCGAAAAAATTCGGGATAAAGAGTGAAAAATCGGGACGTCTGATCCCCTGGTAAAAAAAATTTATAGAGAACGATAGAATAAAAATAGTATATCTATCGTATATAATAGAATATAATAGATAGTGATAGAATTTCTATCGTTAGTTTCCTATAGAATACAAAATCGGATATAACCAGATAAAATACGATAGGATTCATATCTGAACTTGCGAGCATGAACGATACAGCTTAAAAAAAACGATTCAAATTGATAGCGTTATCAATTTGAATTTTCTTTAAGTATCGTTCACGCTCGCAAGTTCAGATATGAATCCTACCGTATTTTATCTGGTTATACCCGATTTTGTATTCTATAGGAAACTATCCCAGGCAGCAATGTAATGTGATTTTCACGTCAGTTTTTGGTCATTCGTGACGTCAATTATCCTTTTATAATCACGTAATAATGACGTGAAAATGACCAGAATAAGTCACAGTCATCAATAATAAAACGTGAAAATGATGTCATAAAGAGACGTAAAAATGACGTGTTGGAATACTCTTATTCGGTTCTATTTTCTAACAGAAACTACTTGTAAATGTCACAGCGTTTGCCGATTTTACCTGAAAATTTTAATTACTTCATTCCAATGTTACATCACATTTAAAAATTCTCAACTGGTACTGGGACTCGAAAACTTGAACCATGAGAGGCATCTCTGGATTATGAGTCTATTGCTTAGACACTACACCACTTCTTCGACCGACATAATCTTTTATTTTGTCTATATATGTTTTATTTAACACAGTGTAATATAATTTGTTGATAATATGATTTAATAAAATGATTTAATTTTAATAAAAATTATATTTTTCGTACCTTTACTATTAATTTAACTCCTAGCTCTCTCTAATGAGGTCTACAAAATCCCGCACATTCCTTTTCGTTATCTTTAAATTTTTATAGTAAACATTTTTTAATTGTTAACTGTTATTAAATAGACAAAGTCATAAAAAACTATGAACTTTGAGTAATAATAAAAGAGTATAATTTAAAAAAAAATCCACCTTACCATTTAAAATTTAATTAAATTAATTAAATTTATGTATATATATAAAAATATACAAATTAACACAGATAGCCAACTATCTGTGACAATTCTCTATGATCTATTCATCTCTGTGCTATCTGGGTCAACATTTTCTTATTAATACATCTTTTAATATCATTCTATTAACTGGATAATTGCAACGATGTAATGCTCGTGAGTAAGAAATGGTAGAACAAGTTCTATAAGGCTTATTCCTAGGAGTCAAATGTTTGAGATGCAAGCACATAAAAAATAATATAAATAAATAACAACGTGTATAAATAATAATCTTTTGGTTACATAAACCATAGTTGATATAAATCAACATTAGACAATCATCTAACACATTCTTCGAACATCTGTCACATTCTTTGCTTATCGAACAGCTGACTAAAAATAACCTCTCAAAAACGTATTATAGACGTCTTTAAATAACGTTATTATCACATCAAAATAATCACGTCTTTTAAACGTCAGTTATTGGTTACATGATGTCTAGGACTGGTAATCACTATTTATCGATGTAAAAATGACGTAACGTTGCTGCCTGGGTAACGATAGAAATGCTATCTATTGTATTCTATTGTATACGATAGAATACTATTCACATTTTGTAAATTCACGAACTAAAATCCATATTCAAAACGATGGAAAATGGTTATTTTAATTCTATCGTTCTCTATAAATTTTTTTACGAGGATCGACTTACATAAACATGTAAATATATATAAATATATATATATTTTTTTTAACCTTTAATCTCCCAAACATCCATATGAAACAGTCCTAACATAATAATGAGAAACGTGCTGAATAATATTTTTCTTGATTTTAAATTTTAATGATATTTACTGAATTTTTTTTAAACTTACTGAAATTAACTAAAATTTCGCTGATTTTCAATTAATATTGCTGAAATCATAATGAAGATGGGTTAATTGATAGAGTTTTTAACCAAAATTTCAGCACATTTTATTATGTTTTCAGCAAATTTCATTATACTTTCAGCAAAATTTTTCCATCAGGGTATATATATATATATATATATATATATATATATGTATGTATATGTTATGTATATAGAGTCATAGTAAGTAAATATCATAGAAATAAATACGTTTATCTTAAATTCCATAATTTCTTTTACTTACTGAGGTCATTTTCGAAGTAATCCCAGAAGGTAGCAAAATCGCCGAGATATCCTTGTGTCTTTATTTCCATGTTCAGATGATACCACGAGACTGCAACGTCCTTCGGATTGCGAGCTACGTAGACGATCTTGAAAAACGTCACCAAATCAACACAATTTGAAAGTACCCTAATAGCATAGTTCATTAGGGCAATATTGGCTATAAATTAGCTTTAATTCTATTCATTTTTGTCCTATCTGGAAATTTGGTACAGTTATATTGTACAATATTGGCAATTTATTCACATTTTATTAATAACCGATATTAGCTATATATTGACTATATTGACCCAATGTGTATGCCAATATAACCACTATTGAACCAATATAACGCTAATGAACTGTACTATTAAGATAAAGAGAAAGACAAAAAATAGCAATTGAAAAATTGCGTCATGACAATGACCACAAATTACTTTTGTATTTTCTTTTTCTCATTACCTTGCAACCGACATTCAGAATTCCTGGTAGCAAACTGAATGGAAAATGACTCTTGATGAATCTGGGCGACGGCATTGACGCGACGACCTCGTAGCCGGGCTTAGCTATCTGTCGGCAAAGTTGCTCTTTCTCTGCATTGCCTTTATTCATTTCCAGAAACTCCCGTGTTAGTTCAGGATGATTGAACAAGCTGAATCTGGGATTTACAACAGGCTCAATATTAGTAATAAAATTTAAAAATAGAGAAATTTTAAAATAGAGAAATATTTATACATATGTGATTAGATTTGAATAATACGTTTCAAAATGCTATTTTTGTGATGTTTTTCAGATTTTCAATTTATATAGTTATAATTTATAGTTATAGTTATTATTTATAGTTATAATTTATAATAATAATTTATAATAATTTATAGTTATTATTTATATAGTTATAATTATGTGGAAGAATATCAAAAGAAAATCAACATTCAACGAGTGGCTTTAGTGCATATGTGTTATTGCATATGATTGCAAATTGTAATATTGTATATTTTCTATATCCCAAGTAGAACAGAAGATCATAATGCCATCAAAATGACGAGGCAATGGTCGAATTGTGCTTAAAAATTGAATTTTTTCGTAATTTTTTTATTATTTCGACATCGACATCACTTTGACGTTATCCATGATTTTTTGTTTTGTTTGAATGTAAAGGCCATTCTAGAATTGCGTAAATGTAAAAATTTCGTAGACGTAAGAGATTTTAAATAATTATGATAATCAGGTAGAATATTTTTAAATCAATCAGTGAATAAAAACACTCCGATTAGTTGATTCTTACATTCACGACTAAGCTTACGTAACTGTAGAATGGCCTTAATATTAATTACGTTTTACGTGCATGTATCATTATGTATCGTTTTACAATTATAGAATGGCTTTAATACTAGTTGCACTTCACGTGATACATAACATAAATTGCATGTTACACTGTTTATCACGCATGCAGAAAGATACATGATAAAAAGATAAAATAATTTGTAAAGTTTTATGAAACCTAATCTGTGAAGATATTTAAATATATATGGAGAAATACATAAAAATTTTTTTAATCCAAATATTAATGATAACGTTATCATACTGACTCGAGAAAAGGAAATCTCTCAGAAAGAAATGTCTTCATTGATGTCTCAAAATCCAAGTTATTCGATAATAGCCAGACCAGCTCTTGCGTCCATGTAGTGCCTTTCAAAAAATTACAACATTCATTAACAAGCGTTCCAGAAATTTCAACGTTATTTAAAAGATCAATCTTAAAAAAACAAAACTGAAGATGTTAATAAAAGAAGAAAGAAATAGCGATAAGAAAGACAATTAGTTTTTTTTTATATAAAAAATATTCCATTTTAATTTAAATCATAATATCTCGAAAACAATGCATTTTCAAAACAAGTGTTTGCAACAAAAGTTGTAGAATATCAGGGTAGAAGAAAGGGGAAGATAGTATTTAATATTATAATATTTTTTGATCTTGAAAAACTCTGTCAAAAAAAGCCAATTCTAATTTTTTAAATGGAATTATATAGTTTTTTAAACATAAGTAAATTCTTTTGGACATTCCTGCGTATAAAAGTATTGGAATAAAATCATCGAAAAATGAATATTATTAAGATATTCTAAATTTTGTCTCGTTATTTTTCAGCATAAAATGTTAAATATTTCCTAAAGTATACATTGTTCGATAACCTAATATTTATAGTAAGTAGTATAGCAGAATAGTAGATAAAATCGATTACTGTACAAAATATATACAAAAACTTTAAATAAAATTCCATGCATTTTGCAATTTTATCCCGTTATCAAAAAGGTGGGGTTTGATAGACTCCACGCATTTCACTTTGTTTTCTTTAAATATTTATAATTTCTTTAGAATTTTTTTCTGTTGACTGTTGTCTCAATATTTTACAGAATCATGAGAGATATATTATAAGGTCTGAAAACTTAACTTAATAAAAATGCAATAAGAAAAAAAGGAAAAATAAATTTTAAATAGAATTTTTTGAAAAATTTATGTTTCTCTTGAAATTTTGTATGCGCCTTTTGTGTTTTAATATCTATTTTTATCATGTCAGTATTATATATGTCTTATTATAACTAGAACGCTTTCACTTTGTTAGACGTTAATAACTTTCACAGTTTGATGAAGAGGGCTTGAAGCTGATGTTATAAAATATATGTGAGAAAGAAGAAATTCTGGTGGATCTTTATTATTACATTATAGGCGAATATATATATATATTATGCACTCACCTGATCTCGGATAGGACAATACCCAAGTGTCATCTGGCCTGATCTTAAAATTGTAGAATTCGGCACCCTGTTCGACATATCTATACGGGAAAAACCATTTCTGCGAGCTTACTTGCACCCAACCAGTTCTCTCACCATCAAACATTGTTAACATCTTTCTTGTCATCTTCTCAGGTAGAAATTCGTATTTAGGAGACTGCCGCGCCATGCTCGTTACTTCTTTCTTCCACGCTCACTTTATGCTGACTTTGTTCTTTGATTTTTGATTAATTATTCAACAAGTAATCGTAATGATACGAAGCTCGATTTAATATCATACTAAGAGACACAACACGATATTACCTCGACCGTATCTCTGAACGAAGTGAAGTCGGAGGCACTAACGCCGATACTTATATTTCCCGATCGCTAAACCAATGAATCTTGCGTCTTTCACATAAATCATCGCTTTACTTCATATTCTTCTCTCGATCATAGTCATTACTTATAATATACTTATTATTAATTATAATTAATTATTAATTATAATATAATTATTTCTCTTGTAAACGTAATAACTATTGTTGATGATGATAAAGTTATTTTTTATTAATATATCGACTTAAACACGTATGAAAAAAGGAAAATAAATTGCAAAAATGTAAGCTCTATCTAAGCTAAATTTAAGCTTAATCTAGCTTTGCTTATAGCAATACTTCGAATCGCAATATTATCATAAAAAAAAACAAGAAATTTGCAATTGATATTTTATTAAATAATGGTCATCTCTCCTATATTTCATTTTATCTATCTTTTAGGGTAAATTAAATTTATTGTTTTGAAAAAAGCTCCGTAGTCAAAAGAATAATGGAGATTGTTGAGATGCTTATCACGAATCTATCACAGTGGTTGACGTGTCATTGTAAAAATATAAATATTCGTTATGTTATATTGGAAGTTCATTATTAGAATTTAGCGCAGCATGAAAATCGATCTTTTTTTCTGTCGATGAGTTTACCCTTACCTACTTATAAGTGGATGTATATCCTGGTAAAAAAATTTATAGATAATGATAGAATAAAAATAACTATTTTCTATCGTTTTGAATATGGATTTTGGTTTGTGAATTTACAAAATGTGAATAGTATTCTATCGTATACAATAGAATACAATAGATAGTGATAGAATTTCTATTGTTAGTTTCCTATAGAATATAAAATTGGGTATAATCAGATAAAATACGATAGGATTCATATCTGAAGTTGCGATACAGCTTAAAAAAAACGATTCAAATTAATAGCACTATCAATTTGAATCGTTTTCTTTAAGCTGTATCGTTTACGTTCGCAAGTTCAGATATGAATCCTACTGTATTTTATCTGGTTATACCCGATTTTGTATTCTATAGAAAACTAACAATAGAAATTCTATCATTATCTATTGTATTCTATTGTATACGATTGAATACTATTCACATTTTGTAAATTCACGACCAAACCAAAAACCATATTCAAAACGATAGTAAATGGTTATCTTTATTCTATCGTTCTCTATAAATTTTTTTACCAGAGTATACATTCCCTTATAAGTGCCAGTTATGGTCTAATTTTAATTCTGTGAATATTACTTTACTTCTGGATAATTAAAATACATAAATCGCTGTCGTGATGACAATAAACATTACATCATTGATTTACCAGAACCTATCAGCTCTAGAAATCTATTCATGAGAGATATATTTTTATTTACCACCAGTTTATAATCTGGACATATTATTTGATAGGAGTATATGTGAATGTATAGCAATACTAATGACTGTATTTTTCAAGGTTTATATAAAAGTTTAATTATTGTATATATGGATTATTGTATCTTTGAGTACCTTTTCTTTTTTAGATTTTTCGTTTTTAGTTGTGTAACAGATTACTGAAGAAAGTTACCTTGATCTAATGATCGAAATGTTTGGTATTATCTGTTAATGAATCTGAATGATATGAATATGAAATTTGCGCATCAGTAATTGTAATAAGGCTCTTATTTGTTGTATTTTCCCGCATTGTGTGTATGTGAACTTGTTTTCATAATAGTCCTATTTTATTATTTAAAATTTTTTCATAAGAAACTTTGTTTTTTGACGATAAAAATCACATTGATTTTATACTACAACATCTGTTACATGAATTTATATAATCTTTATAATTTTTAAAAATATATTGTTTTTACACATTGTTTCATTGTATTTTTGACTACAATATAATAAATATAATAAAAATACAAATAGTAGAGAATTCTTAAATCGAAATAAATCGAGTACAGTCGAATATTTAATGAATATTTGAAGATATTTTTTTAAACAAAGTATCATGACATATAATTTTTACTTATTTATGGAGATAGAATGGTCACTTTCTCAATTCTTTATAAATTATAAGATACACATATATATATAGACGTACAATACACATATTTACATTGCACATATAGAAAAAGAGTGATACATATCTTCTTCAATATATGATGTATAGCATATCTACAATTACTGTTACCAATAATATATTTTTACATGTATGGCCAACTGTCAACGATATATCGTCAACGAACTTTTCTTTTGCATTGAGGTCAGTCGGCTGACTTTCTCTTATTCTCTGTAAGTTTTACCTCATTTCTTTTCTCGCGAAAAACAAAGTACTACTTCAATTTTAGGACAACCGTGAAAAAAAATAATTATCAGTCTTAATATTTGTGCTCAGCAGTAAAAAATGCGATTGTACAAGAATTCATTATTTATTTTATATTAATATTGCAAATAATTCATATAGTATAATTTTTATATCTGAAATATAAATATTGTTTATAATATTTAGAAAGAAAACCTAATATATAAATATATATTTTAGAAACAGAAAAATTATTATACATAATTAAATATATATTAATATAATAATGTGCATTATATATTATATTATAATATAACCCACACGGAACACAACCTTCATTAGACTTCTATATAACATCCATAGCTTTCCCAGTGAACACAACGTTACATGCAACGTACATGTTAGTTATAGTTTCCTACTCAACAATGTTACTATTATATAACATAGGTGTTATATAACAGTTATATTGTTGATTAAGAAATTACAACTAATTTATATGTTACATGTAACATTGTGTTCAGTGGGTATCAGATACCCACAGAAGATATCTATCTCCACAGTAGATATCTAATGAACATCTATATTATATCCATGATATCCATATAATATCCATAATATCCATATAATATCTATCATGGATGTCCATTAGAGATCTATCATATATTACAATTTGGAGTTCTTATAAACATATATAGGATTTCTTATAGATATTATGGATATAAAATTTATGGATATATGGATTTATGGATATAAAATAGATGTCAACTGAAAATGTAACGAATTATTTAATGAAGTATAAATACATTATTATATCTTTATTTAGCGTTTTGCGTTCATTGTTAGTAGCTTTGCGACTGTTCGTGAGATTTTTTGCTGAACGACACTTAGCGGTTTATGCTAAAAACTTTTCCAATATGATTACTAATGATTATCAATATGATATTGAAAATATGCTGGAAAAAATGATTGCTTAGTAAACATATTGAAAAAGCGCAAGGCGCTTATCGTTCAGAAGAAAATCTTACAACAATTCTAAAGTTGCTGCCAACGCAGCGGAAAGCGCTTATTAAGCTACTTTCTCTGCTGAACGCAACCAATACGTAAGAATTGTTTGTCAAATAAAACGAGCAATTTCGACACAAATATAAAGAAGGTTCGCGGAAATACTTCCACGATATATGCAATATATATACATATGCGCGCGTGCGCATATGTACATATACACAAAATACGGAAACAAATATGAACCAAAGAAATGTGCTAAAATCGTTCAGATTAAACGGCACAAATTTAATGATATCATTTAATTAAATGATATTATTGAATAGATATTGTTTTGAATTGTTTGATTTGTATGAACGCGTATGTTCTTACTGAGCGAATTCTTGTACACACTATATATCACTTTTTATCTTGAGAAAAATTCCCAGCAAACACAGAATATAAATATCATATGACATAGAAGTAACACGTAATATAACGGATGTTATACTTATTAATGTTAAAGTTACATAATTTTTTTTTTATAACTGCAATCTAACTGTGTTTTAGAACGTAATATAACGGATGTTATACGTTATTAATGTTAAAGTTACATAATTTTCTTTTATAACTGCAATCTAACTGTGTTTTAGAACTGTTATAATTCTCTGTTATTTACAGATTATAATTATATAATACCAACATAACTAAAATATAATATGTTATATAACAAGCGTTTATTTGCATTACATCTATGTTATATAACATTTTTATATCTAAGAATCGGATCATTCACTAGATGGCTTTCGTTTTCTTGTGTCTTTCTCGTACATAAAATATGCATTAATCCATTAAGGCCCAAGAAAAAACCGCTAAGGATAGGCTTTCAAAAACCATCTAAGTTAGGGCGAAACGTCAAAATTTGTTAAAAAGTAAAAAAAAATTTGTGTTGGATTTCAAAATTCAAAATAGCCAATATGTCAACCCGAAAATTTCAAATTTTGACCTATTTGAATGAAAATCCGTATAAGCTTTATGGGGGCATATAAAAACTCTCATTTATGAGACACCTATTGAAACAGAAGCAGAATTGGTAGCCAAATTACTGCTGCAGCATATCAGGTTCAGAATATTCCTGCAGTCTTCGAGCGTGTGAGACAATCAATGTTTCGACGATGTCATCTTTGTGTTGAAGCAAATTAAGCAATTTTTGAACATTTATTATAAATTGAGCTAATCGCGCATTTTTGTTCCGTTCTTTTGTTCATTGTTTGTTAAAGATTAAAATATATATATGTAATTGAAATAAATTTAATTTTTCCACTTATATGTTTGTTTTTTGTTAAAATCATAAAATTTCTATTTTGTAGTATTAAAACAAAGCGTCGTAGAGAAAAATTATTAATAATATATGTTTGTTTTTATGTCTTCTATTTCCCCTCAAAGTTTGTTGGTCTAATTTTTTGTATATATATGTATATATATATATATACAAAATGTATATATATGTATATATATGTATATACATATATATTTACATTATATACATATGTACATATATATATATATATATATATATATATATATATATATATATATATATATATATATAG